TTTTTTAGCATATGGCCACATTCACAGATTTTGAATGTCTCCATTATTCCCTGTACAAACAACTTTGATGCTGTAACTACAAAACTATTCGATGCACATGGCCTTTCAGCGCACAGTTCAAAGCTTTCAGATATTTTATCACTTAAGAATGCTACTTTCGAGCGGGCTCTGTGAATATGATTTCCTGTAAATCTTCACTGGATTAGCAGGGTATATGACAATGAACCTCAAGGTAGTATTGAATGCGTTAACTTTGTTGGTTTGGTGTCGAAATTAGAGCTTTTACCATTGATGATGTCCGAAAACTTCCTCTCCTTATGGTTGTGCAAATGAGTTATCGCAGAATAGTTGTAAGTATGCTTCATCATTCACAATGGGTTCTTAGGTCTTTGAGGTACTCCCTTTAAGTATCATGGTTGTGCGTGCACTGGGATACTGTCTGCGTGCCCACACCTAGACAGGAGGACGATTAAGGTCCCCAACCAAAGCCTCTGGCTCAGAAGCCCGACCGCAATGCAGCGGTGTCCGGCAGGAAATGCAAATGCATTGCCATTTCTACAGAACAAGTCGCAACATGTCCCACTTCCCAACCTGGGGGTCAGGAGACCGTGCTTGTCAGACCTCCAATCATTGAGCAACTTGATATGAAAGACTCTGAGTGTCGCCGGACAACCTACAGTATAGATAAATGGGTCCATATTGTATGCAGATCGTCACACCACGATAGGGACCGGTCTCTATGTATTCTTATTATCCCGCAAAGCTATCACTTCAAAAGTCTATTGACGGAGCAGTCGGTAGGTAATGTTTACTTCAGAAAGTTTTGATAAGAGGCTAAAATGTTCCTTTGAACTGATCAGTCCTGCCAGTACGACTTCTGGTTGTGTAACCAAAACGTCCAAGTTTTTAACTCGTCATTTCAGTTGCTGGCAGCTGCGCTGGTCGTACTCCAATTTAACGAATGCTGAAGCAAATCCTGAGGGATGATAGGGTGTGGACCCTAAAACCGACTGAGGAATCAGTAAACGTCATTGAATCTATTGGTTTTCGTACGTTATAGTCGTTCAAAGATCTATGCATTAGAAATGCGGTTGTCATTAAAAGAATGTGCATCTTATGAGTAATTCAAAGGTTTGCATTCGGGCACCATGCTTGCAGAAAATGCATGCAGAAACAGTCGAATAGTTGTCTTTTCTCGTTACACCTAAACCCAGAAACGTGACTTTGTGTTTGCACACCCCCTGTTGCTTCACACAGTTGTACATCAAGTTTTTTCCCTAGTCACTCGTATTACGCAACACAAATTCGCTAAACGAGTTTTTGCAAGCAGACTTTTTGAGTAGTACACAAGCATGTGGCATAATTCAAATGGCTCGCTATGAATGATCGGATTCAAGACTGAAACAACTGACCGATTCCTTCAAAGTGAAAATCGACCTGAAACACACGTCAGTGAGAATGATTTTGTCGGTTTATATAGATCGATTTCCGTTCGGTCACATGAGATTCAAGTAGGACTGACTTTACTTATTGTCTGAGTTTTTGTGTGTACATGCTGGTGAAATTTCATTTTTTCACCCCATTTCATTTTCCATTCCAGTGAGTTTACTGGAATAAATTTATATGCATTCATCACATTGAAAAACCAGTTTCCACACTACCTTCCTGATGGAAGTCCTGCAACTAGCTGACTTATCAGATGGCATGATTTCGGATGAATACGTACGGTAATTCTGTTCGTTTCTGAACACGGTTGCATTTTATGAACGACTTCGCTATTTGCAACACATAATTTAGCTGCTCAGGATGGAAACTATCACATTCAGTTGTGTTTATCATGGAATTCGCTATTGAAGTCGCAAATGAAACTTACTGCAGGAGTCCCATGGGAACAGATGAGGTGCACATTGTTGTTGTTTGCAGGCATGGGGTATCCAATATTTGTATTTGTCGTGAGCTAGAGTAGAATGAAATCCGCTCCCATTTTACAAACAAATGAATTTGTGATTTCCAGAAGATTGTTTAGGCAAAATTGAATTGGCTGTCTCCGCTATGGAAAACTAGCGTACGAAGCAAGTTTATAGTCCTCATTCTAGTTCACAGACAAATCAATCCCGTTACTCATAGTTTGCGTCTGTTCAAACGCAATAATTCTTGCTCATCCGGAGTACCAAGGCGGACTAGAGGTAACATACTCACCTAACATTTGAGGATCTCAAAACTCAAATCCTGGAATGGACAAGAGTCTGTAGTATGCACGTTGTGGAGGCACCGGGGGACCACGATCCACCACAGAGAATTCCTGTAGTTGGAAAGAAAAATTAAATATCATCAGCCTGGCCACTACTCAGGGTTGTACATCGCCTACGCCCACTTAGGCACCAAGTAAATGGCAGGTAATGTATATTGCAACATGCACAGCTAATGAACTTTATTCGGATTTTTCAATATTTTTCATGACGCAAAATACTACTCAAGAACGGTGCCGATGAACCCCAAAATCACGAAACCCGTCGTGGGTTTTGAACAGTTTCCAACAGGTCTGTAACCAGTGTGCTCCTTCAAGACTGTGTGTACTGTGACAACTCAAATGTCGCGCCAAATGAGACATCCATCTGGAAAACATTATAAACAAGATATTCAGCTGAAATTTAGTTGATTCTGCCGTTAAAACCAAATTAGTCTCCAAGTTACTGTGGCTCATTGGGGGGGGGGGCTTGCTCCTTGCTTGTTGCTAAAGTTGGTCGATCGTTAAATTTTTTCGTGAGCATCATCCGATTGGTTGGGAAACAGTCGAATAATGTTGTCTCAGAATATGAACCTTTCGGTTTACTTTAATTGCAGCAATGATTACATACGCTGAATAGAACGATTCTACAACTTTACACTTCGAAGGTTATTTTCAGCATCCATAAGCTCACACTCATGGCACTTCCAACTTTGGTCATCAACTGAGACGTATGACACAAAACAGGTCCAATATTGTTAGGGACTCGTCTAACAAATCAAAAACGGTTTGGTCGATCACTACGTTAGACGACAGCTCATGATGACTAGCAAGAAGGTGGTAAATACTGTTTTTGGGGGTGGAACTGTGTTCAATTTCAAACCTGAGTCTACGTATCGATAATGTGCAGTGAAACAGCTGATGATTAGCTTTTGACAACTTTTTTATTGATAGAGTCCACCTTGTGGTCATCCTTCCTCAAGAGTTTGCGCAAGCCGAATGTAGGAATTTCGTCCTTCTATCGGTTGAAAGAAAACCAGCTCATACCTTAGATTTCTTGCATCATTCAGGTTGCTGGTCAATTAGGAAGTGGATGTGTGTTGCGAATGTGCCATCGGTTTCATGTGGACTAGGGCACCAGCCGAAATCTGAAGAAAAACTATTTTGAGTTATGGCCATTAGCCCCCTGCAGCTTGCTGTTTCGTTCACGCTATTCACCACTAATATACCTGGCAGGTGTGCTGCAAGGAAGACTGTCTTCTGGGGCCGAACAACCGAGCAGCAACAGGGAAAAAACGCTAACGTCACCAGCCCAAAAGTACGGCTTGTTCACTACAACGACCTTGAATCGGTCGAATTAAAGGAACAAGCCTTTTGAGTCACCGTCCTGAAAGGCAATACTGGAAGCCTACTTCTCCAGGCAAAGGAAGCAGTTCACAAGCCCTGTGAAGATCGTCAAAGCACCTAAACCTCAGCACTGCAAGTAGTTGAAAAATATGGAACAGAGGTGTTCCGTTTACCAATTAACTCCAAAATTTAGTCTTTTTTGTTTTTGCTCTTATTTAGAATCTCTAAGAACTAGCAACAGCCACTGAACTGCCTGAAAGCAGTACCATGGTAAACCGCTTGCAATTAACTAAGTTAACCCAGAGCTGGGTGTTTTGTGCAAAGAGTAAATCAACAAGACGGATTTCTAACATTTTCTGTGAGCGCGTTTTATGTCACATCTGGTCCAATGCACTGTCCTGAACGTCAACTTAAAAAACATTACCTCAAACGTCTTAGTGTGGCTGCCATAAAAACGGTTACGTGTAGTGTCCTGTGGAGCCTGAAGAGATGGACAAGCATGTGATATAGATGTGAAACACATAAATCTCTCCCTATCGCAAACGAGAGCTTCGACTGGAATTCAAGTGAGCATTTGTGAGGACCAACCAAAGTATGCAACCAGGTGTATTTGTCGAAAGCCATGTAACCGTTATTATTTGGCTTTTACTCTGGCGATCTTCGAATGTGGAACTTCCATTAACAATGGAAGGAATTGGGACAGGAGACCACCTGATATTTGTATAACTCACTATGCACGTCCTAAACGGATAAACTTGAATTCGACAAATACACTAATTTGCGAATCAGTTGGCTTTCACGAGTGACTTAACTGAATCTCTCGTTTATGATATCTCCAACTGTATGTGCTGCACAAAGGCCTGCCCATATCTCAGTTGGCACGATATTCCAGATATCGCAGCATATTTTCCTAGACAAAACTGTTCGAAAGTCGCTGAAAGCTCTTCGTCAACTTGCGACCGCTTTCACCCTTCTTGGAGTTCATCAGGTTCGCACGGTCTCCGAGTTTCCATAATGTAAGTTGACCGCAAGGGTGGGTATTGCTGCGCTGCCCCTTAGTTCCTCAAAGCATCAATGGAACTGAGCTGAAAAGAGCTTCTTTTGTGAGTGATACCAGATCCCGCCTCTTTCCATTTACGGGCAAAGCAGTGAGTGCTCGCCACTGCTTTTTTCGGATGAAAAGGCTTGTTGAGGCTCATTGCATTGATTTGGGAGCGAAAGATCTTCTGTTTACTGTCATCCTTCCACCCAAACCCTAACAGTATATTTGCTGACCACGAGGTAGAAATAAAGCTATTTTGACTTATATGATCTTTTGACCTTTGTTGTTTTGATTCCCTTAAAACAAGTGTATGAAGAATCAGACGATTTCGCCAGATCTAGTCAGCCATAAAGTTTTTTATCGTTTATTTCACTTCCTTTACAGTCGTGTGTACTTCCCGGAAATCGCTGGCCTTGAATGCTGACAACTGTTCTGGTGTTTGCGTCGAATAGGACTTTGGAATTAGTCGATACATATGAACTCAGTCCACATGTCTAACATCAAGATTCAAGATTCGCGAAAACGGAAGCAAGAGATGTGTTCAGTGTTATCGACTGTATCACTCACGGACGAGCCCAGTGTACACAAGTCCACCGCTGAAGAAGAAGAAACGCCAACCGGTGAGAAACCTCGGCATCACTGGGGAAAACAGATTGAATTTCTCCTGTCCTGTGTGGGGTATTCTGTTGGATTGGGAAATATATGGCGGTTTCCGTACCTTTGTATGCAGAATGGGGGCGGTAAGTGTGATAAGCCTTTTCCAACACTGTAACTGTTGCATCGTCGAGATAGGAAATCAGATTGCGATACGCTTGTGTGCCCATTTTTGTTATTTCGAATGTAGTTGGTTAACCGTTGTGGCTACGGAACTTGGTGCTGTAATTTTTATCCATTCGTTCCAGAGGAGAAAACCGGTGCTGTCCGTCTTCTTAAGAGTATACGTTGCTTTTTATTGCCGTTTCTGAAAACTCTTCGACTGCAGCTCAATGGGCATCATTCCACGGAGAAGTAGCAGGCGGTCTTGTGTAACACCATCCAGTTAAATACAGGACAGTGGTCACAGTTGGAATGCCGAAGCGGAATCTACGGGCAACCCGATAGCAGATGTTAATGGCTTTGCTGCTGGGCATCAGCAGTGCAGCATAAGTCAGATACATCTGGAAAAGGTTGTTCAGTTCCGAGTGGGGCATAACGGGCCATTTCATAAGTTCACATTGGGAACAGCATGGCAACAAATCTGACGTCAGATCCCCAAGCGGAAAGCTTGTGCTTACACACATCAGCGATCTGTCATCTTGATCGAGCTAAATATCTTGAGGTCGTCATAAGAGCGAGACATCCATGGAATATGCCTACGTGAAAAGGAACCGGGTAATCAACATCGTCCATCCGGGGAAAAGGCCTCTGGTATACAAAGCTGGATGAAGCTAAGCAGGTAAAAAGACAGAAGGATAAAGCCTCTTGTTCAAACTTACGTTCAAGCTTACATTGGCTTGCTTTGCCGAGCTCTTCTAGGCATGGGTGATAGTAATTCCCCACAGAACAGCGCGGGATGTCTTCCATCCACACAGGCATGCAACCGTGCGCTAGCATCCTCAGTTTCTCAGTTTATTTAGTCCGATTGCCGCTCATTATGCGTTTCGTTGTTGGTCAGCTTCACGTGATCACCTGTCTTCTACCGTGCGTACCCTCGACTGTTGATTGTATGTATCGTAACAACCCGATTTTTAAAGAACTGGTGTCTTGGGGACCAGATGATCATGTGGAAATTAGTGTTATATACAGTGGTTACCAATTTTGTCCGTTTGTTACCAGGTCATAAGTCTCACTACTCCGGTCTAATTTTATACTTCGTCCAGCTTAGTGTTAGGGACTAGGTTATTGAATTTAGGTCCCACAAAATGTGCTGCTGGGTTGTCATCCGGAGGTTTAGTCAAGTGTCGGTCGGTTTTTCGAAATGCTACCAGTGGTGAGACCTCGATAACCTCGAACACTTTTAGATTTCGCTGAAGGCAATCAGGTTCAGAAGATCTACCTATGTATTGATTAGCAGCTGCTTTAGGTTAGACAGTGAGTGTTGGAAATTGGATACTGACTAGCTAAAGTCTTTTGCATCAGGTATATTAACAACGCGGTGTATGTCGCGATTTTTCGAGATCATATGAGGAAAGCTGGAAATCCCCAAGCTCTTCTGAAACGAACAATATCGTGGTTTCTGTTCAACGTTGAAAAACTGTAGCTGTAATCTCGCAAGATGGCTATCCAAGTATTAGTGAATTCTGTTGAATGTTTTTATGCTTATCCTCCCAAACTCCACGCTTTTTATGACCAGTTATGGTCTATTTCTGTCCCGAAAGTTCATATCACTATGAACGTCCACATTGACACACACCCTGGTAAAGTTCTGACGCAATACTTTTCACAGGATTATTTGAACTGCGCGGCTACAGTTCAGTTTGAAATCGTTCGTTTACTCTAGTGTTTTTCAATCACACACAGTTATTTGGTATTGAATGTCACTGGTAAACTCAAATCTGGACATTGTTTGTAAACAATGTGGCCGGCGACTGTTCCGACATATGCACTGTTGAACACAGGAACCTCTCTAAGTTCTACCATGATTGTTGGAAGACTGATGCGGATCATCATTTGGGAAAGCTTTTGAGTAGCACCATAATTTGGTATAGTTATAATAACAGTACCACCTTCTCCATTGAGCGATGTACAGGAGCAACTCAGGTTTTGGAATGAACCATCAGCCTAACCTTATAAGCCCGATTTACTGAAGAAGGTCGTTTGCAAAACAGGCATATTATACCTTTTTACGCACTCGGTAGTTGTGAGTGACATGAATTTTAAGATATCCAGAGTAATCTAAATGAAATCGTGCAAGTTGTTTGTGGGAAACTAAAAAGATTCCACTCTCCATTTACGATATTCCGACAAGGGTGCGACGCCTCAGTTCATGTCAGAAATGAAACTGTTGAGTCTTTCCCCTTTTTGAAGCATCTTCCGATAACACGGAGGAATCCCACTGCGCTAGGCTCACGGTAAGATTGTGTTCATTCTAAAGCCTTATTTCTAGGGTTACCTCAAAATGATTTTCCGTACGACGAACCTGCAGCTACTTTTTTCTACTGATAGGAGATGTTTTTAGATGTAACGAGCGCAGGCCAGATGAAATCCTTTGCCAGGCCTGTGCATGACCCCGTACAGTTAACACTCAAGCTTCACTGGTCATTCCCCAGGAAAGTGACCGTAATACCGCATTTTTACCACACTACCCACCTAACAAACGGTTTTGAGTGACATTGCCATCCTGGTAGCAAAACACTTGTTTAATGGTCGCTGACATCAGCTGTTAGTAGATCTGGGCAGACATTTATTTGGAATTCCGGGTTCTTGCTACTGACTATCCGTCTTCAACTGGCCGACGCATCCGGTTTTCTTTCACTTGGTTCATGTCTACGGAAATGTGCTAACAGCTGACACAATGCAGAATTTCGGCCTATCCCCTAACTTTGTTATAAATTGCGCTGCAAAACTTCTAAGGTTGTACAGGTAGTCGTTTGTCTGGCCCTTACTTCAAATGGAATCGAGCAAGTACTTTAACATGTTGCTGATAGATCGTCCATGGCTAGCTATCACAACTGACGGCAAACAAAATCACCAACCAATACACCCCAACCTTGAATTCGTTAATGGTATGTAGCCGTATGCATCGGTGGACAAGCATAACGACTAGCTGGAAATCCCAGTAGTCACGTATATATCAAACTCTAAGTTTGTGGAGACAGGACTGCTGAGCTTGCCAAAAAATCTAGTCTTAATTACACCACTAGCTTCAGTTCACTGCGTTAAAACGCTTAAATTGGCCCATATATAACAATGTGGAATTTTCGGGGCCTTAAGTTGTGATCACACATTGCGAGTGCATTGCTTTCATTTCTTATTTTGTTTGCATTTTCAGGTGCATTTCTAGTTCCTTACATTTTATACCTTATAATATGTGGAACTGCACTATTTTTCATGGAGACTGCTATTGGACAATCAACGGGCCTAAGTACGATCCGGATATTCAGTATGATTCCATTTTTCTCTGGTACGTGCCTAATGGATTTTATTAATTCGAATCCCAGTGCACATAGTTGTGATCTTATACTTCTCAGTTTGACTCATCTCGCAGTGAATTATGACGTTGCACCATTCATCTTCATTCATCAAATACTTAGTTTTTCCATTAGCTCAGATGTTATTCGTATTCCATTTGTTGATTGTACGGTACACACATCTAGCGCGGCACGTTTGACAAGAACTTCCGAATAGTTCCTTGACCGAAGGCTACTCACAGCAAACTGCACATGCCGTCTCATCATGTCTGGGCCAGCCGATCGCCAGTGATTAGTCCGGGTCTGCTTGTCCATACTCTGGTCCATAATGGCACTAAAGATATGTAACTTCAAATTACCCTACTGTCGAACCAAGTGTAAGCTACTACTTTTTTACAGGTGTCCAAAGTCCCTTCAACGTCATCAGCCTTACCACAAACACATGAGATGCCTTCACCTCCGAACATCCACTTAGGCAGTCTGGGAAAAGATCAGCAGCACGAAAATCATGGAGATGGTCCAAAGGTCATATCTTACCGAGTTTACATCTAGGCAGGTCACAGCATCTTCATTCTTCAGTTCACATCAAATCTGGACTCTTCGGAGTATCATGGCTCTCATCACGCCAAAGATAAGCTTGTCGTGATACCGAATGCTTCATACACTCTTCTCGACAGTCTGTAGTGAACTACAATAATTTGCATTACTGCTAACAGTTCAGCAGTTAAGTATGTGACTGTTCTGCGAATGACCCCTGACCATATGGCTCATAGAAGCCTAGTCCAGCAATGATTCTGAAACATCAATGATCGATAACCCGGGAAGACCCAAATCCTATGACTAGAGATGTCAAGTATCTCAGACGCATATCTTAACATTTGCTGTTATCCCAAATTTTATTCTAATTGATGACAGAATAATGACTAAAAAATAAGAGAATTAAATCTGGTCTTTTCCACAGTCCTTTCTGACACATTAATACCACAGCTTATTCAAATTTCTTGGCAGTAAAGTCTTTTCACCTTGTAGTTTAATTTTTGGATTGTAAGAAACGCCTCCAATGACTCCGGTCCTGCGGAATGACCTTGTCTTTGTCATCTGCGCACTGCGTATCAACAACGCCTGCACTTGCAAATACCTAAGCATTAGGGTTCCTGGTACCCTCCTCTGACCACTACAATAGCTCGTCGATTGAAAAACCAAACAAATAAGGAAAAAGGAGACATTCGTTTTTGGCGCCACAGCTTGTATGGATGCTGCTCGAGAGCTCCCTGAAAACGTACGCGAAAACAAGAAAAGAATGCTTGGTGTTCACATATTCCAGACTGTGACGCACAAGCTAACTTTTACATGAAAAGGAGGTTGAAGATGAAGGGTGAAAAGTGCATTCTTAACACCGAGGCACGCCAATTACTATAAACTTTCTCCCACGGCTAGTGCTGGGTGAGTATATAGCGAACGTAACCCACTCCTTGCAACAGTCTTACCTAATTGTGCCAGTTGATTTCTCGTATAATCGAGGTGTGATTGGGAAGTGTGACACTTAGGGTGTGAAACTGATATCCTGTGATGCGGGCAGTTCTAGGAAAATTCTGCCCATTCTCCCTAAATGAAAATAAACAGGAATCGTGCTGATCAGCAATACCGAATTAACCCCCGAACAAGGATGATGATAGATCAGTGGCACTTGAGAGCGATAATGAAGCTGAATACTTCTCAGTTTATTGACGGCCACAATTCTACCTCCAGAATTCTGTTGCTGATGGAGAAGCGGCATAAACACTAGAAGATGACCAGATGAAGTGCCGTTCAGAGTTTTACTGTTTGGGTTCTAGATAAGCCAGATGTTCTTGGTGCTGATTGTCTCACCCGCTAAAGATTTCCAGGTCTCCGACGAGTTATTTTGAATAACTTTCGAATAATCCCAGAGTTTTCACCATCTCATGTTCACCGACCCTTTGAGAGTACCAGGATTCTCTTCCAGAGAAATATTCTCATTTATCGTCCTGTATTCTTGTGACCTGTATTTCACTCCCAACCAACTGAAATTCTTTAAAGGATGAGTCAGCTCTGATGTTTTGATGTGGTATTCTGCACTGCACAACAAAGCCGCTCCAGCAGACATACTGAAATTGCATCTTAGCGTGTGAATTAGATGGGATGGACTGTTAAAAGTGCAGTATCAAAAGTATTAAGAGCGAATAACCAAGAGCATTTGTTTGAAACGTTCCACTTCAGTTTGGTCATCAGGGCACTGGACTGGACTAGATATACTACCCTAATAAATGGCCACACGCATCGCATAGCTTTAGCCATAGTGCGCTTTACCTATGCGCGAAAAAAACATTACACTTGAATAGATAAGCGTAAGAATCCTGTCTAAAGCTTCCGGCAGAGATTGCGCTACTTTTATGACTAGCCTGGTAGGGTTACCGAAGAACGCTCTCGGTCCACTGAAAATTGTTCTGCTTGCAGATGGATTTTTTAGTCCTTATTCAGATTAATCCAGCCTCAACGATCAAAACGTATTTGAATCTGCTTCTTGTTTCGCTGTACACAGAATAACGACCAGCAAGAATTCTCCCTTTATGTTCATTTTTATCAGGTCTCGGATGGTGCATGGTATTTGCCTCTGGAATCCTGTCCATTTATTACAATATAATAGTGGCCTATACAATATACTACATTGGAATGTCGTTCAACTGGGTCTTGCCTTGGAGTCATTGCAACAATCCGTGGAATACGCCTCAATGTTTCTCCTTTAGTGGGAACGATGTGAGTGAATGAGAATTTGCTAGCTGAGGTTATGTCATTAAGGAAACTATGCAGGAAAGCCTCACCGACCAAAAACAAGGATAATAATTGAGGAATTTTAGCAGGCACAAAGATCCGTCTATGATTCACTGAGTCCGGGACTGCAGACATGTGAAAGTTTTTATAAAACTCCCAGGTGGAATCAAGATGAGAAAGCTAACGGTTACTGGAAATTTTTACGGTGTGAAAATGCGGAGTCACTTCGAATAACCTGTCAGCGTTACAATTTCACACTAGTATTGGTGAAGAGTAGATATTAGTCATATGAATAGTGAGGGTGAGAAACTTGGAACTCCGACTAAAAACCAGTGCAGAGACCCTGGGAGCGCAATTTGCTGGTTTCCACTGAGGTCAAGGCAAAACTTGAAAAGATGACTCATACCTCAGCTCCCGGTAAATGGTTTTCACTTCTAACATCATCTGCCCCAGTTCATGATGAAGCTTACGACTTTATACTTTATGCCCCATACGTACGCGAGTAGACATCAGCCACATTCTTGCCATTGGCCCCCGTTTGCTGAAATGCTAATGCGCATTGGAAATCATTCTGATCATACGGTTTTCGGATGGATTTCTTAAAATCAGTATTTCCGCTTTTGATCGTTTGAAAGCAAACTTCAGCTTTATGTAAGGTCGAGTCTAAATCGGCTCTTCAATCTTGTCCACCTTTCTAGAACACAACAGCAAACTAGTTGCCTTTAACAAACAGCCAGCCTCCCTCAATGCAACTTGGCTTGATTGAGAATAGGTTTGTTCAATGAAATCCTGCCAACATAATGATTTCCTAGTTTATTTTAGTCCCATAAGCTGTCAACAGCCTAAAAATATGGCTTAAAATGGTCTGTTCAGGTAACATTTTAGGTGAAGAGCTGCGTTATCTTAACATCCTTCACTGAGAGGATTGCTATTCAGGCCGTTTTACAGAATTTCGCCATCAAAAAACCTTCCAATGTTTCGTGTTTTGCAAAGAAGAAACATTCTCCTGAATTGCCATTCAGATAAGAATTTAGCTGGACACAGTCCTTACAAAGGACAGTCAATGTGATATGCAAAGTAGCCCATTTATTATGAACATTTGAGCCTTTCTGGGGCTTTTAAGGTCCAATTCAGAACTGCCACCAACTTTGACCTCCTCCGAGACTATCTGTTTGCCAGTTGTGATGGATCCTCAAAAGTAATCCACTGAAATCTTGAAGAAAGGAATTGTAAACAGAAATCCTGGTCCTGTTACGATTATCCTTTTTTGTACATTGCAGACAAACAACCAAAGTCTCATCGGATTGTCTACGGGTATGAGACGTACTGCCGCCGAAGAATTCTGGAGGTAAGCCCAGATGCAGTGTTTTACTGAATGCGTTTATTATGCGTTAGAATGTCTTTCTCGACAAGCGCATTACAACAAGTTTTTCAAACTGTTTCAGTGTACTTTTTTCAAGCTCATCCTTTTAACAGACCAGATGGCTCAACGTGTATCTTAAAGACACCCGCATAAGGCTCGTGAGAACGTTAAACGAGTGGTCATTGGGGGACGCTCAGATTACGCCTGAGTAGGTATCTTTAGACCAATTTGAAAAAAATAAACTCGAGTATGGTGGAATAAAACTCTAGCACTTTAACCATCGTAGTCTTCGGATATAAACCTATTTTGACCGAACAACTGTTGCCTCGTCCGTTCGCACAAGACCGGAACGAAATCGTCACTGCATGAATGAGCCAGTATAGTCAGTCATGCTGAATCCACCCGTGTGAACGACGATTCCCGTTAGATTGCGAACATGCGGCCATTCTCTCGAGGCTCCACATTTGTATGTAGACGGTACTGTTTTTGGATATCAGACGATGGCGCTGAAACGTCACCTAACCCATCTGCGCAGTCGACACATTTAAGCAGGAAGGTCTCAGTTAGCATGTTCTAACATGGTAGGCACAGCGAGCATGTGGAGGTCAGCAGCTTGACCAGAATAATCAGTCTTCCATAGGACAATAACGGTAGGTTCACACTGGCGATAACCGTTTTGAGGGCAGTTGTGGCGCGATAACGATCAGAGATGCTACGACTCCACCTATATATACCACGAGAACATAGCAATCTGCAGATTAGCAAAAATGGAGGTTAAAACAGTTATGAACAAACGAGTAGGTTTTTGTGGTGTTTCGGTGGATCTGGTCAGGTGGGAAATAATGTAAGGATAATAATAATGGGAAATAATGTAATAGTGCAACTTACTCGCACTTAAAATTGGCCTTAGCGCGTGCCATCCGACCAACCAAGTCAAGCTGAACATCTGAAGCGACAATGCTAAAGGAAATACTGCAGAACTTCCGTTTATTCACGAAGAACTGACTGAATCGATAACTGCTTGACATTTTTGGGCTTCTCCCATTTGTTCATACATCCTTTTACCTAACCTGAGTTCGTTAGATTCTGGAACGACAAAAGCTTTGCTAGAAAGTAAGTGATCGTAAGACGTAAATGAAGATGTCATCATCGACAGCATGACATCAGTGTTCAACACCGATGCTTCACTGCCGTACAACCGTGACTTATTTGAAAGATTTATTATAAAGAAAAGAATAAAGGTGGATGGGGAAGGGACTTAGTGCTAGCTTAACACAATCATTCCGAGGTGCCTAAACCTCCAGACATTCACTCAGGCAATCTAGATAGAAACTGACAACAAGGACGCCACTGACATCGGTTGGCAGCCATATCTTGTAGTGTCTCCAACCAGGCACAGTAAGAATCACTAGGTCGCCATCCTGGAAGGCGAGTAGCACGGACAGCACCCAAACGTTTGATGATCTCCTTCATACTCCTCTGCCAAGTCAAGGGTTAGCCACCTCTCTGTTTACGCCACTCTGAATTGAGCATGGAAAACAGTACTCTCTTCGGCAAACGATGGTTCGGCATACGCAACAGAGTAAGAGCAGCTTGTTGTCCTGCTTGCTTCAGAGTTCGGACATTGAACGCGGCCAGATAGACTGGGTGTTGAGGCTTGAGGACTCCAAATCTATGAGGAAGAGTCATCTCAAGTAGAATTTGGTCATAAGTCTGCAATAAAAAGTTTCACCATAATGCTACTTCGACTTTGAAAATTAGGAGATACGATCAAACGCTTGATATGTCTGCCCTTGTAGAACGACGGCATGTCCATATGATGTATGCACTGTGCATACTTTTCGACGGTCTGCCAAAATAACCGTTGCTTTTCATCCGAAGACCCATGGGGTGGCAACACGGAGTACAACCAGTTTCAAGCATAGGGAATACTATGGGATCTTCGCTCCTTCCAGTCTGGAGCCCACATAGTTTTTCTAGTTCTTTCTCTAACGCTTGAATGGTAACCCTACGGGACAAGAAACAAGTCTTAGCGGTGAACACGATCACAACCATTAGTTGCGCTCCCAAGCTACTTTGCGTACCGGATTGTTTAGTTATAGGTTTGCAAACCTCATCGGATTAATAACTCTGAGATCGTCTTGTTCAAAAGTCAAGAGTCAAAAAGTTCGAAGATGTGGAAGCTTCTTTATTGGGCACTTTGCTAAAGAAAATCAGGCTTTTTGCTGGAAGTTCTCATTCTTCTCATCCCATTTAGCTGTCCACTCTTAATTTCACTTGTTGTTTGCATGCCACCACTGACTGCCAATAGACGTAGACGATGCATCTGTCTCCCCTGGTGTGCAAGACGCCGCTCATTAGAACGACAGAACAGTGCACAAATACTCTAAACTAACCGACCACAACACGACTTTGAATCTTTGAACTGAGTAATCTCAAGTAACGTTTATTTGATAACAACAACTTCTACTACATTCAAACTCATACCGCACACATACCGTCCCAACGCACTGTCTTTTCCTTTCCAGATACAATGTCCTTGAAATCAGTGAGGATATCAGCGTTCTAAACGGTATTCAGTGGAAGCTACTTTTAGCACTTATCGCTGCGTGGATTCTCACTTTTGTTTGCATGTGTAAAGGAATATTGTCAAGTGGAAAGGTTAGTTGGTTTTCATCTGTTCGAAGAAGGAACTGTCGAGTGCGCAGAGTATCCGTCAGCTGTGGACCCTGTTTAGAAGTCCACAAACAATTTACTCAAATTTCACTAACTGAGAACTACTTATAAGGTTAAGAAAAACTGACTGACAAACCAATACTGCTTTCGCCGTTTGGACTTCTAAGGATCCTATCGACTGTTCTTCTTGTCGAACGCATAATTTAGTGCACAGCTGGTGCATTAGTTGAATGGCAACTCAGAAAATAATTCAAATTGACGGACCACAGAAGGACTACCGAAAAGTTTCTATCATTCTCACATTTCGAATATCATCCCAACTGAGAATGACGCAATCTTGGTGCAGCTTATTTAACTGGAGGCTAGCAAAATGAGATACCTGGCTGGGAAGCAGCATATTCCCCGTTAACACCAGCTTGACTTGCGAAGGACTCCATTTCTCCAGTCAACTCAGAAGTTTGAACTTGTCCTCTACCACAGCACACTATTGCTCAATTGTCAATTGAGATTTCATTCTGTCAGTGGAGCAAATCCATGCTGAAAGGCTGAGAGGCGTTGCAAAAATGCTTTATCACTGTAGGAAATCACCAGCGGTGCGCATCTCACGAAACTGGCTAGTAGTTGAACAAAACCATCTGGCCACGAGGGGCCAATCAGCAGTGTGATTAGCTCTCATCTATCCAACCGACTACTTGTTGGCAACAGAAGAAATCTGTTGAAGAAGATTCACGCATAGCTTAAGAGGGAGCTTGACCTCGTAGTCCCAGATTAGGGCTGTCTCTAAAAGACGCCTGAGACTGACCATCACGCAGTGTTTCCAGGACCTGGAGAGGTTAAAAGTCAAAATCTGAAAGCAAACGTTCGTTATTTGTGCCTTGTGCCTTATCGACTAGCCCCACCCTAACTGAATAGACTTAGCTCTCTTGCTTTCGCTCTAGTGGGGCGATGACAGCAAGTAGTCCATAGAGAAAGCGAGAAATTTTAAACGTTCTGTTATCGGTGAGGCCTGTGGGATTGAAGGACAGTGCTATTATTTAACTCGAACTAAATGTTAGATTGTATGCTCTCGAAGGGTTTGTCTCCTTCCAGGAGTAAGTCCATCCTTGGAGCGGACAATCCAGTAAGCTTTCCGGTGATCCGCCGACTCTCAGCTTCTGGTTCCCAATGCTCTCCGTTTTTTTCTACTTAGTCTGAAAACGGTGAGTTTGGTTATACGGAATCTATTAAGTAGTGAAGTGTATGGTGATCGTACTGTAAGAATAAGCTCCGTTATTGTCCTAGCAACCCATTACGTCACTATTGTAGCTCTTACCGTCAAACACATAGCTCAATCGTCTACATACATATACGTGTTGTATTTATGAAACTTTCTATTCAAACATGAGAGTAGTGCTAAAGTCTTTCGTTTAGCACCGTTTTCTGCTTTTGCTTTGCTTAGCGTGGTGTCAATCGACAGGAGGAAAAGAAAGTACCTACTCAACATTCCACCCTTCTCTTCTATCTTTTCTGCACTCAGGTGGTATACGTCACTGCAACCGCACCATATATCTTCCTTACGGTAATCCTCATTCGTGGATGTACCCTTCCAGGCGCTTGGTACGGAATCAAATTTTACATTGTACCAGACTGGAGCAGGCTAAAATCGATAGATGTGAGTCACTAATAAATTTTGTTTTCTCTGGCAATCACACTTGACTTACTGCCTGATTCTATAGGCCAGGTAGTGAACCTCGGTCTTGTGGTAGAACGCTGTGCTGATGTTCGAAACTATCCCGTTGGAAATAAACAACCACTGAGTAGATAATGTTGATCCCTTAACGTATCTATCTTTCAAGCAATGAAATTCCGCAACTTCAATTTTATCATGTTTCATGTTTTTGACAACCAAAGGCGCCTGTTGCGGATTTTTTTTGCTTATGTGGTGGCCCTCTGCAGATCACGGTTCCTGTAGGAAGCTCATACCGCAAGGATCAAGATACACACAACAAACGAGAGGATGGAACACGTCCAATGTTGGTAATACACAATTTTCAGGTATTACAGCTTGCGAATACATGACTTTGGTATACTGGACTACGTAGAGCAAAGACGCAACCAGTAAAATGTTTACTATTCACGAAAAACTATGCCTCGTTTGAACAGTATTTCTACTGTCCTAATGTGATTACAATGTGCATCAGTCGTTGTGCGTTGATAGATTAGTGTAACTAATCAGCACGCTAGTGAAGCGGAGATGGTAGTTGCGGCTTCAACGAGCAGATGGAACAAAAGATAGTTGGGTATACGTATCGTAGAGATCAACTAGAATGTTCCTAGCAGGGATACTCGATCACCAATAATTTGCGACTTTAAAATGCTGTTAATTAGGCAACATATATGTCTAACACTCTCCAATGAGTTCTTGAGCAAGCCACTTATTAATCAGGCCAAGTCGTAAAATAAACTTTTCTGTTCATATATATATATATATATATATCCTGGCAATAAAAATCTGACACTATATACATGGGATGTGCCACGGTCCAACCTTTAGGAACCTTATATGTTTCACCAAGCGAAACCCTTGGGTTGGATCGCTATTCCTCTAAACCCCCAGTTAAATAAGCTAAAAGTGGAGTAGTCGCTCTCCTCGAGCATGCGAGCGCTATGGTACGAACACCAGTCAAAATAGCAAAGTCGCTTGTTCTGGAAACGTTGCTTCTGCCTTTTCAAGTGCAACTGCGATAGCACGAGCCTTGGTAGAACTGAAGAGAGCCTTGAAAAACAAGCACAACGGCATGTACCCAAACAGCTCCGTATCATGCCAGCTTATCTAAACCCAACCCTGTTCGAATTCATGATCAAATATGATCCATCAATAGACGTCCAGTCAACAGGGGACAAAGACCCCAATCGAACTCAACTTGGCTCATCTTCCGAGGTTTTGACGTGAAGCGAACATCAGTGGAGAGTTGACTTCATTTTTTGCCCTATTGATTGATGCTTTCAAGTCTGGGGGTTCATCTGGAGCTATTTCGGTTGTATTGACTGTTCATGTTGTTTTAGACTTGGATAAAATGATGTAAACTGCACCTTACTGTGCTTCGCCTCTTTTGTTTATATTACGTTAAAGTATTGCCACATGAAGTGTATGTCCTGCAAGATCGTGGTTGACACCCATTGAGCGGTTGGCGAGACAAAATGAAAGGTTGATTAGGCCATCAGTTAACGTAAGCAGTTGGGTGTTTCCCAAAACTAGGTGTACTCTATGACAGTCTTCCAAATCAGTCTAAATCGTTTTCGCATACCGCAAGTATTCTTGTCTCAAAAGAAACCTCAAATTTCTATTAGTAATCGCATTACTCACTGCGTCTTTAGGTAGGCTCAGGGTGAGTCATGCTTGAGAGGAATAGAGAGTAGAAATAGCGGAATTCCTCAATTCGAGGCGACAACCAACGTAAGCAAGTGCATATGAGTACCGAAAAAGTTAGGCAGAATTTTGAAGTAAACAACATGAGATGAAACTGCTTCTGGCTAAATCGGCTCAAAGGGAGCAAAAGATGAAACACAGATGAAGTGCCCCTTTACTTTTAGAAGTAGAACCTTAGTTGACCGAAAGTCGATTTGCAAGTTTGGTTTTATAACCCGCAGTCAAACACTTCAACGTTTCAGAAGTGCTCATTGGTCAAATGTCACCAATGTGAAAGCAAAGCATATCATTATCAATTTTTATTGCTTTCAGCGTCATCATATTTGCACATGGGTTCATTGATGTGGCCGATAATCATTACAAGAGAACAGTCTTACGAACGGATCACTTCTAGCCTGCTCACTGAAGCCTGTTTCAGTGGTAGATTCTCATCAAACACAGAGCCATGCAGACGAGCACATTTGACCGATCACTCGAAGTCTTCACCTTAAATACGGGAGGATCGATTCGGAGGTTTTCTATCCTGATCTTGGGGACCCTGTACATGTACAGACAAACAGTGAACAGCTAACACTTCCCTATGAAACCGACTCACTTTCGTTCACAATCCGAAAACCACTGTGCAGTTGTATGATGAAATTAGGGATTAGTAGTAGTTTACAAGCAGGAGGCTATTGGTGCCGACCAGTGACCCACATATTTGAAAAAAATTTTGCCTGGCTACTTCCTTCGAATGAACCATTGAGCAGATATTATCCGATTGACGGTTTGGCTACTCTTCCAAACCCTCGTTGGCGTGTGCCAATTGAGGTGCCTATTTTCTAATACTGCAATTTTATTAGTAGCCAGGGGATCGGAACGAACACAAACTGGAATTAATCTTCTGATGCACATCGAAATCAGAATCCAAATTAGTAGCTATACACTGGCTGGATACTCATAGCTCATAGCCTTTCTAGATCAATCTCATTTAGATATATACCAACATCATAAGTGTACTCTGAAAACCGTTTTACAATTCCAACAACACCTAAACTTTCATCTGGGCGGATACGAGACAATTATCGCTGGATGATGAAGTCCCATTTACCCGCACCAGTCGCCCAGGTATGATAAGCAGTACATAATAAACGTAAGAAGTCGTATAAAGCCTTAAGGGAGCCCAGAGCATTACTTGACATTCACGGAAATCCAATCTGATCAACCGAACAAGGGTCTTTTGACGAACATGGTCCATACAAAAGTTAGTCGTTGGATTTCGATCTGGTAACAATATTTTTACTTGCCGCCTTGGGTCGTCCAACGGAAAAACGTGCTTTGTTATACTAGAGCCGAAGTTATTCTTATCGGTTGGGATACTGTGGTCCTCCTACAAAATGGATTTCACCAGCTACCAAGTGATGCATTCAATGGCTCCGTAAAGCAGCTGATGCGTAACCATCAGTGAACAGCTGAATGTAATAAGACGAAATTCCTCGGCGAATTAGACTGGCGGTTTGCCAGACCAATACTGTCAGTTTCTTTTTCCCCAAATAGACATCCTTCACATTTCATTCTGATGGGAATGCTTATTCGATCCGGAAGACCGAGACTTCCGTCGAACAGTTTCCCAATTCTTTCCGAATTTGGGTATCTGCCATAAATCGTGATCTGTGTCCAATTACACTTCTCATGACTTCGTCGGTTTCATTATGAATTTTTCAGGTTTGGATTTCCGCTGCCACGCAGATATTCTACTCTCTGGGACCTGCTTGGGGAGGACTGATTACCTTCGGATCGTTCAATAAATATACGCATAATGTCCAGCGGTGAGTGATGAGTCTGTTTTTTTTCTTTCTGTTCAAAACCGGAATCCTCTTTCTAGCTCGCGAGAATTCGTTTTAAGAAAACGGGAACGATCTCTTACATACTTGCTGCAGCTGTCCTTTTCGGGCACCAACAACTCCTGCTAGAAGATGCAGCTTGACAGCCCTGTTCTCAATGAGCGTTAAGACATAGATAGAGGAAGGAGTTATGTTTTTGGTTTGCCATGTTTCTGACATGTTTCTACAAACAAAAACGATAAAGTCACCTTCTTCTTTGCGCTTTAGCATTTTAATATTAGTAAAACTCGTGTCCGATAGAAGCAACAAACTTATATCATACTTGTACTGGTGGCATCTCCCTTCCCTGAACTTAGTAACTGTCTTTGGCTAAAATCGGACATCATCATCATCATCGACAGCATGACTTCAGTGTTCAACACCGGTGCTTCACTAAAATCGGAGAGTTTGCTCACAGCGGTGATTGACGACTGGTGATAAAAAGTTTGTGAGGCCGAGCTCCGCACACAGAACACTCACCAATAAATGCACCCAGTTAGCTCTGATTTCATTATGTAAACTGGTTTTTCAAAAATGTTACGGATTAGACAAGCCTGAACCATTAGGCGCATATTTTTACTGACCTTTCACAGCATCCAGCCCTCCGGAGTGACAACCCAAGACAAGTTTCTTTATCATTCGTGCTAACTGGCCTTGACGCAGTAAGGTTGACGAAAAATATCACACGGAAATATAGGCAGATTTGTAGCCATCAGATACCTCTGGTGGTCTTCGGCCAAAGTTAAAAACACCGAAGTGTGAGTACGGTTCGCCACTAGCCCAGGAGGAGTCACCACGGAAGGAGGAGAATCTTGCCTATTCTGATAGCTGCCTCTTTTCGGGGAGGAAGTAATGCGGTCGATTGGTTTAGTAGACGCACTCTCACCACTTTGACTTCCAATGCACTGATCTTTCTGGAGATACTGCTGCAATATGAGTCTACCTAGACCAACATAGCAGGTATCTGTTGACACTTGATGAGAGGCATAGCTAGCAAGCAAACTATCCTGCTCGTGCGCAGCTGACGGCTGGGCCCCGGAATCAGTGCATAAGGTGTTCCAGGTAAATTTGGTTTGATTTGGAGAACTCTTGTCACACGAGCAGTTCCATCTTGATTGAAACCAATCACGTGAGTGCGTAAAGATTGGGCACGTTAGCATTCGGTTAACACTTTCATTCATTTTTTATTATCTTATCCAAATTTTACACTGAACATCTGAAAAAAATTCAAACCCAAGGAGCTGTACTTACCAGATCTCCTACGAGAATGCACACCTAATCAAATAACCATTCGGCAGCTCTCAGCAGCCAGTTACACCAACAAACAAATTTCAGGATATAAAGTGCATGAAGTTGTTTGCAAATTTGCGGTTTGTTCGACATGAAATCTGAAGCCGGGAGACTGATTTCACATCCAACAGTCCTTTTAAATAAAATACCGACGGCTTGATGATTTATGTGTTACATAGAATACATAATTTGGCAATCGGTTTCACATCCCTATTTAGGGTTACAACATGCATTCCTGAAACCTTATATCGAAAGCCGCTACATGTAGCAAACCTTGGTACCAATTTGTCTTGGGAATGGTGGTTTTAGAAAGCAACTAACAAATACCCAGTTCATGGTATTTTATTTTTGGTCTAGGAAACGTGGCAAGCATTCCAGTAATTCCTAACACTACCGCAACAAGTGAAGTTGTGCTCAAACACACAAAGAACCATGACATCAATAATCTAGTGCACAAACTAATTCCAGACATGTCACACAGCGGAATGGCGAGGTGGGCTAATCATCTCTATGTTGTTATGCCTTATCAGAATGTGCTAGTGGTCACACAAGGCTATTCGGATGGAACCTTTGTTTATCAGGAGACCCCACCAAGTCCAGGGGAGCACATTCCACTGTGCACTATGGATATATGTTGAGGTCCCTGTTTAACGACACATTATATCCTAGTGAACTTGTCCAGAACCTCGACACACGCTCATTCGCAAATCAATTTGGCTACCACTACCAAGTCAGTCTCTCGTTTGTGATGTTCTGCAATTGAATGTGCTGCACAAAGGCCACCCCATGTTTCAGTTGGTAGGATATTAGAGAAAGCGTAGCATATTTTCATTGAGGAAACTCCTCGACAGTCCACGACCTGCTTCACTCCTCTAGGAACTCGTCAGGTAGGCGTAATCCCCGTGTTTCCGTCAACCTTATGTTTTACTTGAAACCAAATTTCAAAAAAATACTCATTTGCATATCAGACTGGTTTTCACGATTGTTTTCATCTACCAACAGTGGACAGTCAGAAATGCGGAAGATGCACGAATAACCACCAGTCAACAATGACAATGTAGGGAAAATCTAGGGAACATTATTTGGTGAATATTTCTCCAGTCTTAACAAGTCTATTTCAGAAGTTTATGAGATATGGTGTATATGTCGGATATGTCGGTTTTCTATACAGGAAAGTGTCGGTAGCTCAGGTAGCGTAGATGGTCGTTGGCTTGTCTGCTGAGCTTGGCAATTTGATTGCAAACGTTTCATCACCAATCGAGGTGACATCACCAGTGTTTTCTCACGAATCAAGAAAAAAGTAACACGTCACAGGTAAAGTGTGGAGTCACTTGTTTCGTGTCAGCTCAATGGACTCTTTATATACACTTGAATCCAGAGTTAAACAAACCGAACACCTCTTTGGGTTACTGACACGATAGTGGCAGCTGAACAGCATGACAAAATAATAGAAACAACGGCACCCAGTGACCACATGGGAGACAGTCAGTCAATATAGAGTGCGAGGGTCATACTCAACGAAGCTGCTCTATGCCCTGTCTTTACCGCGCATCATTCCGTTGCTGAGTTTTTAACTATCGCATCGTGAGGCATTTTGTTCACATCCAAGCAACCAGGTATTTGAATCAAATTCGGCATAAAATGGTTCGTGAAAGTAAGAAAACAAGCCACAATTATGCGAGTGATTGCGTGAATCCCAATGGAAGCCTACTTTTCATTGAATTCTATTTTTCTGACTAACCACAGATTAGGGATTGCAACTAACCAGAATCTGCATGAACAGAAGTCAGTTGTAACTATTCTTCCAAGTTAGTAAACCCTTGATTTTCTTACATACATTCACATCCAAACGCATACCGTTCAGTGAAGTAGCTCGAGATGTATATGTTTAGTTGTCATGACACTATGAGTGCGAGATATGAAGGATGACGGCAATGAAGAGTCCGGTAAACGTCTGATACAATGTGTGCACCCATAAGAAAATGTGATAGTTTCAGACGGCTTAATTCAAAACTTCTCACAGGATCAGCATTTTTTCACTTCATTTATACAGTGACGCGATTCTCATTCCAATAATCTGTGGTTCAACAAGCATTTACGGTGGATTTGCAATATTCTCCGTGATTGGACATTTGATGCACGCGACCGGCACAAACGATACTGAGCAATTCGTACAACAAGGTCCAGGGCTAGCTTTCATAGCCTACCCACAGGCGCTGACCATGCTTCCTGGAGCAGCGATTTGGAGCGTGTTGTTTTTCTTCATGCTTTTCACACTTGGCATTGACAGTCAGGTAAGAAGCTTCATTATCACTTTTGGCCAAATCCATCCACTATGAAGCCCCTCTATTGAAAAACCGCTATCAATTGGACCGTCTTTTAGCACCAATTGAAAGAGACAGGGGAAACTGCCTCCCAGAAATCGTCCCTAAAAAAGACGAACCCACCGTGTGTTGGACTCTCACTGATACTGGTGTCGATTTCAGTTCAGTTAAGCTGTTTTTCAAGCACATTTACGGAGCGCACTACTCTAGAGCACCTTATACACGAAGTTGGAATCAGATCGCCACATCGATATCCACCATTTGCATATGACGTTCATACATTAGTTTGTGGTGTGGTACACTTTTGTGAGAATTCGCAAGCGAAAAATCACCAAAAAGAAAACATTTGCTGGCCTGTTTTTTTTGTAAGTAGGATTCTTCTTGGAATCAAGAAATTAGGCACTTTGGTCTTCCACGTCCAAAATGGACCTGAAATGATCATGCACTCTTGTCAGTTGACCGGTCATTGATATTCTACGTGCTTACTCAGTTTGGACTGCCGTAACCTGTCTTCAACTGACTCACCATAATCCGTATCTGACTTCGTTCCATCATGTCAATCCCAGTCACCATCGACCGATAATGAGCCTTATTCAGGACTAAGCTTCTCCATGTACAACACTATTTTTTTTAAATCAGGTGAATGAACGGTTGTAATTTCAAGGTTGTTACCTTTCGATGGCCCGACGATACCCAGCACTGATCACCAACAGCGGAACATCATGTGGCGATGGTATCTTGGTATAGTGTTTGGTGTAAGATGATAAAAGAAGTGAGGAAATATCGAGGGCATCGTGCATTCTTACACATTCATTATTTTGGTTTACAGATAAGAAGTGCTCCGATGATACTTAGCGCTAATCAGTAATGAAACAGTGAAAGATCAGGTAGCGTTCAGTTTATTGGACAGAAAAGGATCTAATTAGGCATCACGAGTAGATTTACAAAACTTGGGTTTGTTCGTTAACCAGCCGAACAAGAGAGACGCTAACTTTATCCTTCCGGGTTGGAGATCAGTACTCGAACGAATGAAATGCCGCTTAAATCGCGTTATGAAGCATAAGCTTAACCAATAAAACAAATAACAGGATGCCTGATGAGAATGCATATTAGATTGTTTTAGTTTCAGTATTTTGAGTACCACGGTTTTTCCATGCATGATTGTGAGGTACGCAGTTCCCGAATTCATAATCAGCTAACTGTTGCATGCAGATAATGTTGTATTTTGGAAAATCAACAGTAAAAATACGCATCCTTTGTTTGTGTCTGGTTTGGCACAAAGGCTTTTGGACTCTTGCTCCGTAGCGTGTAACAGATAAGCAATTCTTGATAATTCCGCTCTCACGTATGTTTACTTTTCCATCCACAGTTTTCTACACTAGAAGCTGTTACGACCGGCCTTAACGATCGGTTTCCTCGGATCGTGAGAAGGCGCCGAATGCTGCTCACGCTGGCCGTTTGTTTCGTAGAATTCCTCCTGGGCCTAATTCTGGTTACAAGGGTAAATTATTGACTCGTGTTCCGTCCGTCAAAAAGACGTAACATTTTTTATGAACTTATGCACTTCATTTGACAAATAAGGATTAGTTAGACAAACGGGCGAATAAGTTGGTTTTCGCCTCTGAATCAGTTTTTTCAATACGAATTTTCGTGATTTGCACGTGATTTTCGCAAAATCTGTTTCTATGGTGCGTGGGAAGAAGTCACTTTCTTGTCGTCCAAGTGGCTAAAAAAACTAACTAGTGGACAGTAAAAGATGCTAACTCTTTGTTCTACAACTTCCCTTATAACTGTTATGTATGTTGCGATTAGTGATAGATTTCAGAGTTTCTGTGGAGATCCTTTTTCGGAGCCAATAGCACAAAAGCCCAATCCAGCAGGCCGTGCGCCCCTGCCTACACCAAGAGCGCAGGACAACCCGTGACACGCGCTTAGTCTTTCAAAGCATTTCGGTCGTATTAGGTTATGCACCGACGTGAACAGTCACTTGTTGGACGATCGGATTGTGCAACTTATAAGTTCACCTATCCTAACTTGTCTTCTCACGCAATAAGGTGACGTTGTTCCCTCAAATATGGAAATTCCGGTTGCCTGAAGAAAGCTCCTTGGCGTCTTAACCTTCCTGTCACCGAAGAGTGGGAATTTATCCCCAGACCGCCCCGTAATAGGGATTACTAGTAGTACCGTGGTTCGCTGCTGTCTGTCTGGTTGCTCTAATTTCAATCTTCTTCGTTCGGGTGTACCTTGACGACTGAAGCTCTTGTCAGCGTCACTCGTGATCTGGTGACGCCGCGAATTCAGAATGAAAGTTGTCCGTCGAGTCCATACATCGATCGGAAATGGGAACTGTGCACCCCTCAAAAGTTGATCTATGGATTTTTTTCTGCTCAGGGCTTAACAACCAGTTAGAACTTCCGGCACTTGGCTCGTCAGAGCAGTTGGGTGACTAAAAGTAACAGCAGAAGGTAGAAAGTATTGGCAGATCTTTTCGGTCCAGAATGGTTGTGTTATCCCAATGAAAAGATCAACCCACAATGTTCATAAATTAGCATCCCTAGAGTTCCTACAAATGATAATTTTTCCGATTTAGACTTATTCGAACTATGCGAAACTAAGATGACTGTTTTACGAACAACATATGGATTGTTGAATCGCCTTTTCGAGTTTGAGTACGTGAAATTTATTTATTAGCGTATGTGAACGTACAATAATTTTTGTCATTTTTCTAAACATTTAGGCTGGATTCTACTATTTCGAACTGTTGGATACGTACGCAACCGCCTTCAGCGTTGTAGTAATTGGTTTTCTCGAATCCATTGTGATCAGCTACCTGTACGGTAAGTCATGTATTGTATGTTGTCTCCAAAACAGTGCGGCAGATGTGACATAAGCACCCACACTGAGCTAATTATAGCGTTACTACCCCAGAATTTCAGCTAATTGAAACAGAAACTCACAGTAGGTAGAGCATATGGACAAACGATGGGCGACCGTCGTTATCCTCCTTGAGATCCACTTAGGCTACTGTGGTCCGATTCGTCACGTTTTAGCGGTAACGTACACGCGCTTTCAAACTTCTTCAGTATTGACGTGGGATCCAATTGAATCACTTGTTTATGATACTCTCCACTGGAATGCCCTACACAGAAGTTGCCCCACGGTTCACTTGTCGCGAAATTTTGAGTGTCGCATAATATTTTCTTCGAGTAACGCCCTGTCCATAAGATAGCTCGAAACTCTCGAACAGATTACATAACACTTCAAAATATACACCGTGATATCACGAGCATCGTCCAGAATGAAGCATGAGGTGATCTGTATGCAGCGTATTCAGTCGAAGAAAGGTCCAGTTGTGTTTCTCGTTAACCCCGATGTAATTTGAAAATACATATATTTTGCCAGTTGAATGGAATTACGTGTTCACGTAGAACATAAGCATGAAGGGAATCCTGGAAGTACGTCAAGTGATCCACCTCAAAAAGGGCGAAGCTGGTAGTGGGCCGTCGAAGTTTTTCAGCAATTCTATGGAGAGGGCTATGTGAAATAAAACAGCCACTTGATGAGAAACGAATCTTGTCGTCCGTGTCACTACACAATCCTAAAAGTGCTACTTTTTCAAAGAAACGAAAGATGGATGGACCCCCGGAAGATGGCTGGTGTTTGTTCATTGGCAGGCAGATGACGCAACAAGAAAGTGGAATGCTGTAACAATAGGACATCTCAAAAACACAAAACACTGGTTCCGAACCTAGTGCGGACTCTTATTCTATTCAGAGATAGATAACTCTGAGTCACTCAAATTCTCGAACTAACTGGAGCCTCCAGACCAGAATAACTTCCCTTTATCGAAATTAGACCTCGAACAATTCAAACTTCGTGGTAACGTCATCTTGGGTAAATTCACTATCTGTTCATCACCTTTCGGACCTACTAAATGACAGCAATGAATATTACGAATACTTTGGGGTGCACTCCACTTCACCTTTTCAATCGTGATTGTTACTTTCGAGATGCTTTTCTAATCACCGAACAGTCGAGTGCATAAAGGAAACCAGTTTGAGCTGGAATTTGGGGGGATAAGTTAATAATTCGCACTACTATCCAGACGAAAAGTAGTGTGCATTGACTAAATTCCGCAGACCAACCAGGATCAATCAAGGCGTTGGGGAGCAAACAGAACATGACAAGGAACCTGATAACCTGATCAGTACATTTGATTCCATTTCCCCTAAGAAAAAGAAAGAAAGAAATGACAATCCTCTTGCAGTATTCACGTCTCTGACAAGTACTGTTGATAAGACAAACTGAGGACATCTGCAATAAGATTACTTCGGCCCAGTTTGCTTACATCAGTCGCGGGTATTTAGCAGATAAATATTACAGAATCTGCTTAGTTGGAGTTTAGAAAGAAAAAAGTTACTAGTATGCCACACACTGCAGGTTGTGCCACTGAGAGCAGTTCCATAGAGAATGCTTGTTAGAGGATACCAGTTTTCCGTGGATCCTTGATGCTTCTAGTGCATTTTAGGACTTTGGAGAGATCAACCTTAGCTTGGAACGTAGACCACGTTTTGAAGTGCATTTTTGTCAAATTTCTTTCTCAGAGCAAATCGTCGGATCCAATTGTTCGACGCGCAACCAGGATTTCATGTTTTCCTGACAGGCACCCATTGCAAGCTCAATAGAAGTTTCGTGAGCAACCCGAAACAATTACTTGTTATATGTTTTTCTATTTGTTATATTGTCCAGGTATACGCAAAAGTACCGTTTGTGGATGAAATAGTGGTATATGATCATTATCCCACCGCTTGTGGTCTTTGCCAGCATTATTGGGAATCTCATGACCATGAATGGTTAAGTCCTAACCTGTCAACAAATTTGAGCTTATTTGAATGCCGATATACTTGTTAATCCTGGCCTTTTACTGTCATAGTGCAGTTAACAGGGTCAGATGTGCTCTAACCTGACTTGATTAAGGGAGAGGTCCACTTGGTTTGGGGCCGACTGTATGCCAGTTCTGAGTAAATACCGGTCAACCAGGACAAACTGAAGTAATCAATACAAGATGTGGGTCGGGTTACTACCAATAAACACAACTGATATGTATGATGACTTCTGACTAACAGCGTTTGAATCAGGGTGTGGGCAACATGAGACATTAAAGCAGTGTCACGATTTGGCTTTAACAAACTGAATGAAATACTGTTCTCGTTGGATAGAATTTCAAACAGCACGATTCTGGTTTACCTTGGACTTTATTTAGGGTATAAACCACAAAACATTCGTAGTATGTTGCTTAAGGTGAGATGACTTTACTTCCTTTTGATTGATGACTCCCCAGTGGAGGGGAATTTTCATTGAAAAAATCAATTAGTCGGGCTTTCATACTCTCCAAAAGAAAACAAATGTAAAAGCTCTTGAAAAAGGTAGTCCACGACACGCAAAAAATCGAGTTACGGCATCTTATTCCCTTACGCCGAGTTTCAACTTTAACCTTTCCGTAAAATAACGGAATTCACTAGTGAGGTGAAGTTGTCATACAAATTAATGCGACACCAAAACCACGATTCACCATCGTCTTAGGCCTTTTGCTGTAGGAGGTGGTTGTTGGTTATCACTGATGACGTGTGTCTGACGAATTCCCGAGGTGCAGAAGATACTGCGGAGATTTGTAAACAAGAGCCAACGTTACTAAAAAACCGCGGTTGTAACTAGGGTTCTAAAAAGAAAACAGGTCGGGACATTTTCACAATGTGATAGCACAATGTGAACTTCAAACTCTGTCGAGTGAGGGTGTTTCAAAGCTGTTGTATGATCTCTAAGGAGTTTGTACTCATCACTTGGAGATATCGCGCACACTGACCTACTTATTGGTTCGGACGGGAGGTCCACTGAATCACCATCATGTGTAAATATATAGTGCTTCAAATGCTCTCGCTACCCACTCACTGCGGCGTCATGAAAGCACCTAAGTATAGGACAATATTTCTCAATGCATAAAAACTGTTTGATGCTGATTTGCCTTTTAGGAGCCCAACGGCTGTTGGACGACATCGAATGGATGATTGGTCCCATGCGCAAGGTGACTCGTTACTGGTGGATTTTGCTGTGGTGCTTCTTCGTCCCAGTGCTCACGTTTGCAATAATTGTAAGCACGTTCGTTTCCCATGCACAGTCGGCCGAGGAGAAATTGAAGAAATTCCCTGAGTGGGCAATTATCATCGGTTGGACTATTTCGTGTTTGTCTTTCGTGCAATTCCCGATAATGGCCATAGTAGCGGTCGTCAGGCACGGTTGCAATTGGAGAAAGGTATGCTGGACTACGAGTTTATTCACACTGCTACAATAACTTGCAGGCTCTGATTACTAGAGTTACAATGACATATAAATCAGTAGATCTCATGGTAAAAGAATAAATGACTAAGCAGCCTCTCGTACTGTTAGAAGATATGTAGCAAATCAGGGGGCGAGACGGCCCAAGTGGTTAGAGCACGAATTTACTGGCCGGAAGGTCCGTGGTTCGAACCCCACCTCTGCCTCTCGACTTCCCCTGTCTAGGCTTGGGCAACCTGGCAGTATCCCAGTCCTCGTGCTTCCTTTCGGGTAGCATGGCAGTTAGACACAGTTGGGGTGCTACAGCTGGGCGATGTAGCAAATCAAGGTGACCGGGACTTACTTACTGGTCTATCGGTGCAGGCCGACCTTGTTTTCAAAGAGGATTGGAGTATTCCTGAGCTTAACCTGGTTGTACTGCAGTATATCGCCCGGCAAATTTACTGCATGCAAGAGTACACCAAGGAATTGCCAACAGCGAACCAGTCGATAAATAGACATAATTAAACACTGACCGTATCCGTTTTAGAAAAGGTATAAATCTGCATTGCAGCAAAGCACTTTCCGTCAACTCCTTTTTTCACAGCTTTTTCGTCCGGATGATGAGTGGGAAATCGTGGTGCAAACCAGGCGGAAAGAATGCCAATCCAGCTATGAGTTGCCAGTCTCGAACGGAAAACTCGAAAATTGAAAAGGATTGAACCGATTTTACTTCGTAACTGTAATCTCCAATTATCGTATCAAACAATTTAAATGTGCAACCATGTAGCTATCGCTATTAAGAAGTAGAAATTGTGTGCAAATAAATGTTAAATTTATTGTTCATTGGTCCTCATTGTTTTTGATAAAGTTAGAAGAAATTAAGCTTCAATCATCATCATCAATAGAACGGCTTGGAACTCAAAACATCTTATGATCGTCTGCCCCGGAATCTCTAAAACGCCTTGTAGCAATTAGAGGATAGAGAGCAGTAGACACAGCCAAATCAACAAAATAGGCACGTGACAGCTGTTAGCTCATTAAACCCACCAAAACGATTGATATATGAAATAATGTGTGAAACGGTAAAGATGGTTCCATGTGCAGAACAAAAACGCACTGTTAGAATACGGCGGTTCCACGGCTAGCTGTACGGCACCGGAGCTTCACTATTTGAATACTGATGTCATTATGTCGATGATTACATTGGACGTCCGTCCGCTCGGAAGTGGTCACTGTAGTGATGATTTCCCAACAAAATGAACTCTTACGGTAACTTATTTTGTTTTTATGCATACAAGAATGCAGTCATTTATCCCGTCACCGTTAAGTTGATTCAGAATCACAGTCCTGAAAGTCATACCGTGTATGCATTCGTTGCAGTGGTCAATCTGTCCATAAGCCGCAAAGCTGTTCATGAAATACGTGATAAAAACTATTCGCATCAATTGAAGATCCAGACAACCCAAACGCGTCAATGAATATTGTGATAACCCGATCCGGTTTGCAGTATCCATCAAACGGGAACTCAGTAATAGCAGATACAAACATGCGAACGTCCGTTACCAAATTTTTGGTATTTCCCTCACATACATGAAAACCCCCTCCGAGGGGGAAATTAAAAACGGTGGGAATCTTGAAGGCAAAGATTTTCCAGTTTTGGAAAAACGCTGAGAAGCTCAGAAGCACTGGTAAGAACTGTTTTAGGAAGCGGATACGACTAGAAGTTCAACAGTCCTGGTGCAGCCGTCCGGTACTGTGCTTATTAGTCGCTTCCTCGGTGGGAAAACACCAGCTTTGATGAGATATTGCGATACTCCTGGGGAAGCATTGTACTATCCGTGAGCATATTATTAGGTGGAAACTGGTCAGTGTAAATCCCTTGCCATAGCACCATAATTATCCAATCCATTTCTACGGAAATATCCAATTTGTTACGGTCTCCTTTGAGGGCGCAATATGATCCACCAACTAATATCAAAAGGACTCTGTAGATGCTGCCGGACCACTGTGCTTATCAGTTGTCTGAATATACTGAAACAAATGAAGGACGGTCAGTTTGCACGAAGCCACCGTCAATGTGGTGTTCTACGCTCATCGACAAGTGCACGTGCTGGGTTTCCTAATATCTTTACCACAACAGAGTGCGCAGTGCTGTCAAGCGATCACCATGGGAGCCCACCTCCTAACTTTGTAGACGCTTGGGGAGATGGGGTTGAAAAAGCGTGTTGGGGTGGTCTTCGACAGGGGATAATACGGGTGTAGATGACAATCTAAAACATTGCCCTAAAATGCACTAATTAACGTCGGTGAATTGAACTTCGACTAAGATCAGGCTTCAACATCCGAGGCTGACCACCTATTGATGATTACATTAGTGGACGACGTACGGTGATCATCAAGCGGTCCTCAACTTCAGTCGCATCCTCAGTACTGCTAATTTCACCCTCAGAACTGAACCAGCCTCGACTAACGGCAACGGGTTTGTTACCAAATCGCTGTGTGAAGACAAAAAAACTACTCAGCATACTTCATTGGGTCTACATGCACCCAACCTGTAGCCAGCATTTTTGAAAAGCTCATTTTAATTTAAGTTCCTACCTTTGAACCTGATACCATAGAGGTCCATAAGTTAACCACTACGCTGAAAAGCCAAGGGTCACCGTGTTCTGTTTCATCCTTGTTGGGAATCATCAGCTATGTGTGCTGCACAATACCGGAACAATGTCAACCGCAACTACCGGCTGATCTGCGTCAGTTAATTCATAAACGAGCTATAGTTTCGCTTACCCATAACGTTCAGCTAACTTTGCGGTGTGATTTGATTAGTCTCTTAAGTAGTCTCTCAGGAGGCTATTTTAATCTCTGGGATGTCTCCCTCCCTGAATAAACAACTTGCTTTCCAAGTAAAGAGGATTCTTCGAAAACATGGTGTGGATAACCTAACAATCAGAAACCCTAACAACGCAGCTCTAGAATCCACCGCTTACACTCTCATCAGCATCTCCCAGCCCTAGATTCCGAAAAGCAGACAGCTCTAGGTCATGGATTGGTAGGTGTAGGAGAGCATTCGTATACTGAACATGTTATCGGCACACTGGGCCCCATGACTAACATGGAAAAAGTCAAGGGGAAGATAAAAGTCACATTGTACAGACCTAAAACGGATGACTTACAGAACCAACACTAATTTGTTAAGAGTCGAGGGGTGATTGGGTTAAAAATGCATGTAAAAAGATTCAATTAAGAATTTTTATGAACTTCTAGGCTCAGACGATTCCACAAGAACGTCATCGGATAACACGTCGTCTACAACGTCGTCGCACAGACTATTCCAGAAGGAAAGCTCAGCCCTCTGCGACAAGCAATTTATGGGCAACTATGAGAACAGACCTCACCCTAAATTTCATTATACACAGCTTCAATACTCAAATAGTTTGGTGCAATTATTGAGAGCTGTGAGCTTCACCCGGGCCGGGCAATTGCAAAGTTGGTCCATGGATGTAGTAGTTGAAATCTAAATTAAAGGGACAGCCCAACTGTAACAGACTCTTGATAGATACCTGCCCTGCCGCTTGATGGAAGCACAAGGGCTGAGAAACTGACAGGTTGCCCAACCTAGATAGTAGTCGAGATGCCAGGACTGGATTCGAACCAGACTCACTGATCAATAAGTTCGCGCCTAAACCACTGAGCTACCTCGAATTTGTTCGAAGCCTTGATGTTTTTATTATTCAGAAAGGTGGACAGCATGTACAATGATCGGAATGACTCGCAAATATCGCAGACAGGAGCACCAGACGTACAAATGACAGTCGCTCTTGCTCTTGACGTTCAAAATGAGGCAACTTTTAGTAAAGCCACCCTGACACCCAGCCACTGACAAACATGTGCACAGTTGTTTGCCCCTGAAAGAGATGCACGCTCGTGGGAGAATAGAATTACTCACTCTTTTAATCAATTGTATCGCTAGAAGTGGACTGTCCGCAACAGAAGCATTTTCAAGGACCATTAAGAATAAAAGCGGACTAACTAGCGTTCGTAGCAGTGATTTTCGGGATATACTGCGTGATGCGCGACAATAGACGCCTTGAAGCAGTGTATGGGGAGGTGATTGCCTCAGTCTTCGCCTGTGATGGATATCATATGTCCCGAAAAGCTCGACTGTTTGCAAGCAGCCGCGCTGCATCTCCTACTTTCGTGAGGTAGCCGACAAGCATCAGGAATGATCACAGGACGGACAGGAGATTTTGGTGAGGTTCCTTGAGGTTCATCTAAATACAAACTACTATTGGCAAGATACCGAAGGGCAGTAGTGGCTGTTCAGTGTCTGAGTGACACCAGAGAAGTGAAAGATTCACATCCCAAATGCATGAACGAATGGATGCTAGTTTTAACGTGGCTGCAAATGGTTGCTTACTGCTTCCAGTGTATCTGGAATCCATCCGGTTGAATTTACGAAAGAAGTCTTGGTACGCATTTCGAACATGCTCACCACGCGGCTGATCAGCAAGGAATAAATATTGTAGTGTGCAACCGGTGCAAAAGTTCAACCAGTCGCAAAAGGGCAATTGAGACGACCCAATGTCTGTGTGACAACCAAGAGACGGGCAACTTATGTATATCACAATATCTCTGATACATGAACTAGAGACCTGCCGCAATCAATTCAAGAAGTTTACGGTTCTATACTCTCTGTACAGCACATGTGAGGGATAAACATTGTTTGAAGTACGTATAAATCGTGCGTGTGAAATGCAAAGGCCAGAAGTCTGACTGAATTATCGTTTACGCCTGGTGTTCCAGTCCATGTACTTGCGCTGTGCAGCATCGAGCATACATTCAAGGTGACTGGTGACTCGCGGTCGATACGATTGAGGAGCTATCGTACCTCGACTAAGACCACCGTCGGAGTTGTGTGAGGGTAAACTGGAATCAGGCTTTCCAGAAGAAGAATCCAAAGAAGCCGCGAAGTGTACCACCTTCGTCGTACGGAAGCGGGTGAGACTTGTGGCAATGCGTTCTAATTTCTCAACCAACTGTTGATTTGTCACCGGAAAACAGGCCCAGAAATGTCGCAGAAGCTCAGAGGCGCTCGCATAAAGCAGGGCCAACTCACGCAGTTGCTCTGAATTTAGCATGGCGGGACTTCGATCCATATCATTGCCTGTAGATGGAGTAGCACGTGCCTGCCCTGGTGTAGAACTGGGGTTTCGGGTAGGGTGCGAGGCATCAAGCGGAACGCGGCAGCCAACGGTCTCATTGGTCTCAGTTCGATCAGTTCGGGAAGATTTTAGTTCATCGGGTACACCTTTCCCTCCCACAAGGCAACCTCCAGGGGAAACGTCCACAAGGGCCAATTGTGCATCCAATGTTGTTACCACTGGAGCATGCGGTTTCCGTTTAGATTGATACGCTGCTGTTACCGATGTTTGGCACCTTTTCAAACCACGCATCAGCTGAGAGGGAGAGAAAGAAAAAGATGGCTGCTTAGGCGGGTGTACAGTAGATGAATGTTCTGTGATTGACTGATCTATCGACACGGGACCTTCCAGGTAGTCACTGACACCGGCGAGCTCCAGTGGATAATGTGGCTGTGGTGGAGTGTCAGCAAGTTCTGGACCATAGACCCGTTCTTTTAACGATGTTGACATAACTGTGGATGGAGATTCTTGGGAAGCACCCAAGTGTCCCGATGACTCAGCTACACTTGTACTGCAGCTCAAACCACTTGCAATATCACCGGCACCCAGAGATTTTAAAACCAGAAGGGAATGGTTATTGAATCTCCGAAGTAGAAGCTGGTTGGCCGAATAGTTGCTAGACTGCGACGAAGGAGTTTTCGTCCCATCAGCAGCCTTCGGCATATCAGCTGAGTTTAGTGTGTTGGGCGCGGAGGACGTCGACACACATTCAGAGCCATAACCAGATCCTAGGTCATGGTCGGAAAGATTTTCCAGATCTAGACATGCTGAAATCCGATTTCGACGGGAACGGCGTAGTTCGTTTTGAAAATGACGTTCATCCAGATTGGCACACTCAGCAAAAATATCTTCCTTGGGAATCTGTACACGGTCCCTAGAGTTGGATTGCAAAGACAAAGTGCAGATATGTAGCAGGTAATATGAAGCGGGGTCTAATGGCAGATAAAGATCCGTATTCAGCATAACCTTAAGCTGTTTTGGACGCGATCACATGAGAACATGAGTTTGAGTGCAGACTACATTATTAAAAAAGAATGTTTGAGAAAACGGTGTCACTGTTGTAGGATACGTGATGATAGAATGCACGACGTGTATGAATTCTGTGTTCACGTCGCTTCTGATGTGTCTCCATAAACATAAATTGGGTTGAGGAGTCAATGAAGGTGGTATTGGAGTGACGTAATATCATTTGTCCTATAGACCATAGAAATGCACAATTAAACGTCCATTGAGATGCTCACAAGACTCGACAGATGTATGCGCAATAATGTCGAAAGAATGGAACATCCGAAGAGTCTACGCATTCAACTTTCAAAGTTGCACGCAGTTTGATAATGACCCGATGGTTTGTATTTTTCAGCCTCAATAAATAAATAGACCAATCAGCTGTAGCACGCTTTCGGTGCCTAGCTGCCATGCCACACGAGGGCTTGGATACTGCCAGGTTGCCCAAGCCTAGACAGGGGAAGTCGAGTGGCAGAGGTCGGGTTCAAACCATGGACCTTCCGGTCAGTAAATTCGTGCTCTAACCACTTGGTCCATCTCACCCCCAAGACAGTCTCAAGACACGTTTGACACAACGCTACCATATATGGCCATTCAAACTGACAACGTGGTGCACGTTGACATATCCCATCCAACGAAGTACAAGCCAGATGGTGGCATGAAATAAGTAGGCACGGAGGACAGCATTGCCGCGATTGGCTATTGAGCACACGCGGTGGAGGGATATCACTACAACCACGTTCCGTATATTTTAAAATATCAAATGGTGTTTGATGGCTACGCAGGTTCCAGCAAAATAAAAACAATTGGGAAAACAAACTGTGGATTGAGGGATGAAGGATGACAATGTGTAAGGTGATACATGCAACACTCGACGTCCATTGGCTCGGTTCAACGGCAGGGTTAGCCAGGAAGCTCAACTATCCGACCTGTACTGTTTTTAAAGAAGTTCAGACAAGACAGTGCAATTGGCTACATTACCCATTGCATCGTGTTGGTTCCGTAAGAACGTGCAAGCAAACTCTACCCCTATTTGTAATTATGCGCATAGTGTGGGTCGATAGCTTGCCAACAACGACCATGAGCAGTTCTTACAGTTAGCATACTTTAACACCATTAACCTTATCGGAGACGACGAGAACGGCAACCCCCAAAAGGCTCAACAGGGAGAAGTAAAAAGAACGGATCGGACGGTGGCTAAGCATAAGCCTTTTGAGTCATCTACAATCCAAAGACAGAAGTCAGACAATGAACATCAAATGAGGACAAGGATGACACCCACATTAGCTCGAAGTATAGTTTGCTACGCCTTCAACCACGAGCTCATGTACACCAGCCCAGAAGAGCCACAACGACCCGGCGCTAATCAGGTTTTGATAGCCGATTTGGTTAAAGGGCTTAAATGACTTTCCGTTAGTGTCGATAACACGGATATATGACCTACCAAATTTCTACACATCATTTGATGTGAAGACGCTGAAGCAACAACGTAGTAATCATACATAAGGGACCGAGAATCGGAATCAACCAGCTTTGTAACCAAACAGGTTACGGACAACACTGGCAAGAATTACTCAATCTAGGTTATGAGGAGATAGGAAATGGAAGGCAAGGACAGGATTGAAATCGAACTTACCGGTGAAAGTAGTGCGATTGAAAAAATTTGACCCAAAAATCGGCCTCGGACAACTTGTCGGGAACAAGTTCACGATGACGCTGGCGGACGGTGGGATAAGCACGGAAAATCGCATCAATTGTGTCGTGCGTGAGGTTGTACTTTATACCATTAACACCGTCTGCTTCCGGTTTAATATCGCTGAGCAGATTGCTTGGAACTCCTAGAGCCTGTGGTTTGTCTGCAAGGTTGAAGCTTCGAGAAATTTGGCCCGTTGTTGAGGAAGACGTATCTGGAGCAGTCTGAGCATGGTTTGATGTGTTTTGGGTAACGCGTGAATCGGACTTGCGCTGAGATCCAGGAGCGACACCGTCAAAGCTAGAAGACTTCGGTGTAAGGGTAACAAACTCCGGTCTGGTCCAAAATTCTTCGGAGCTAAGAATTCCCGTCACAACGAGTTCCTTGTACAGAGCCAGGATTTCCGGATTGGATTCCAGCAGTCGAAACTTTTCTTTGAGTTCTGAATGGGCCTCAGGAGAGTTGAATAAATAGATGGAACAAGAACCAAGTAAGTCTGACAGCAGAATAGACAGACAGACTGCCAAAGTTATCGGTGTGGATTTAGTTGAGAAATGAGCATCGTAGTTACTAGTCGGAAAGTGTTCCACAAAAAGGTACCCACATAAAAAAACGAAACCACTGTCAGCCCACGTGCAAAATAAAATAAATACGGGGTCTTGTACTGATCCGCGTACCACTCCACTTCACGAATCCTGCTCTGTACCAACACTCATGGGTGACATATTAAAGTAAATAAACATTTCCTAAGACAAGCCATTTCCAACTGAGTTTGCTTCAGTTCGGTATTGAGAAATCTGGTTTGGGAATGGAATTCTTTGAGAGCTAGCCCCTAAGGCCCCACAGAAGACCACAAAAGATAGCAACAATACGTAAACTTCCCTGTCGACAACCACCAGAGGGAAATGACCTTGCACTGGGCTTGTCTGTATTTCGATACCAATCACCCATCTGTTTTTAGGACGACCGTTTGTAAGATACTTGATTACTACAGTTACTACGTCGAGAGGTCGAACGAAAGGGATTGTTATGGACGTAAACAGAGAATCTTATTAGAATTGGTCTTTTGGTTTTATCTTCCTAGAAGTGAGAAATTGCAAACGGGAAGACGTGAACAAACAACATCGATGTTGTCACCACTCGCTTCTTCTCTTTATCCCTATCCGTTATTTTTTGTGGCCTCCTCCTTATCCAGAAAAGTTTATCCTTTTCGGTCCGAAAAGCTATCTCCCCAATTTAATCACCCTAAAGATCTGGAGTCCGCCACGGTCAAATGTCATCTGCGTGAGTACAACGCCCATGTGGTAAATCGGAAGTACGGACTTGGGTACTACTGTTCTACCAGTGATATTTTGGAGTACATTTTACATGCCTGGTTACTCGCCCTTTGGTGAGACCAAATCGACAAGGACGTTTTGAACTCTCTCAATCGAGTGTGGTATGAGTTTTCCAGCCACAGGATCTCTTTACAGCCTGCACTCTGTTCGGCTAAATGGACTGGAAAATTCTAAACGACCTGACTCTACGAGTCCAGCTCGATGGTGGTTTTTTCATATCCAGAACACCAACGCTAAAGAACCGCAGAATTCTGCTTCCTGTCTCAAAATTCTACTATTGATCAGTGCTATATTCGTAACCATCTCTGTTAAATTAATGTATTTTCAAACGATACCGCCGTAAACAAAGCTACTTCTTGCAATAACAAATGATCCACCTCATCTCAATCACGTACTGTGCTTACTTTGTTTTCACGCACGGGTGGAGTTTATCAAACGCAGCTACATTCATTCAGCCGTAGCAACATTTTGGTGTCTAACTGCCGTGCCACCCGAAAAAGGCACGAGGGCTGGGATACTGCCAGGTTGCCCAAGCCCAGACGGGGGAAGTCGAGAGGCCGAGGCGGCGTTCTGGTCAGTAAATTCGCAATCTAACCACTGAGCCATCTCGCTGGCAGCTACGTTCACGCCTTACAAACCTACACATAGCCCCTACCCTTTTGTGTTCCATGTCTAATCACACGTCCCACATTGATCACTGCTCGGTGAGGTTTTTTGTGCTCTCTTCGTGCTTATTACGATAAGTGCGTCTTCGACTACAGATTTGCCCCCAATCCGTAGGCCGTTACGTAACATAAGGACGATCCAAATATAGTGGCGTGAACCATGAAGCGGGCGACCCAGAACGCGGAAGGACATAGGGAAACGTTGTCTAGTAACAAAATAATCGTTCAGCTGTGATATCTTTTGCGTACCTAGCTGCGACCGAAGGAAGCACCAGGTTGCCCAAGCCTAAGCGGATAGCGTTATCTGGGTGCCATGAAGGCGGCTTGTCGTTTAGAAGGCTATAATAGTGTTTGGGTAGAGCCGCTGTGAGTTATCACGAGATGCCGACGTCAGCAGCACCTACGTTGCTAGTTTCTACACATAGTGCCTAACTGAATGAACTGAAGGCTATACAAACGTAACTGAGCAACTTCCAACAGTTTTTGAAGCGGTAGCATTAGCTCGTTATGACAGCAAGTACCGGGGCTTAGTCTGACAACCGTGTATGTATACAGTAGCCCAGATCGCCACAACTGACAGCAGAGGGTAGTGCAGGATAAACGAAAAGGATAAACACAGAAGCACTAAACGATAAAAAAGAAGAGTGGGTTTAATGGGACAGCCACAGGAGATTCAAGTGGCATATTAATGCAAGCTCAAAAATGGATGGGTGGTATGAGCAGCCCTCGTCGAAAACAGTGAACTCAACAGTGAACTCGGATGAGTGTCGTACACCCGTAGGCCTGAAATACGGTAGCGAAGCACCAGTGTTGGATACTGATGTCATGCTGTCGATGACGATTACTATTACGTGGACCTCAGCAGAATGCCTTTCAAGAGATGCGCAGATATACCTAAACGAAAAGGAAGGTCTTCATATTCTCTTCATAACACTTCGAGTGGTGTCCCATTCTTTCCTCGAAACTGGTGGGGTTTCCGAAAGCCACTCCCTTCGGCCTTAAGTTTAGTTCTGTCTTTGATAAATTCACAGAACGCATACCTCACATGGTTGGAAACCTACAAATAGAAACGGCACATAGAAAGTTATGAACCTGGTCCCCAACCCAGAAGACAGCACTTGCCAAAACGACTGGGCTAACTGGTAAGGACTCCCATACTTCGTCGCCAAGCTATGGACTGCTCGGCCCTCGGTGGTCTTCATCAATACAAAGCTAGGCGAAGATGGCTAAACGGGGCCAACGGTCCTTTGGCATATGAAACACATAGCCTAATCATCGTAACCTACAGTGGCACCAGCAGACCTGTAGAAAACCACCTGCCGTACTTCAGCACGTGATCGTGTTCTTACCGGACTCCGGCAACTTTTTGGAAACAAGGACGGTCAAACATAATGTCTTACCCGGGGAGCGCGCGGGATGGCTGTGGTTAGAACGGGATTTACTGACCGAAAGATCGGTGGTCTGAAACCGACCTCTGCATCTCGACTTTCCTAGTCAGGGCTTGGGCAACCTGGTAGTATCCCAGCCCTCGTACTTTCTTTTAGTGGCATGGCAGCTAGACACCGAAAGGGTCTTGCAGCTGAACGACAGTCTTCGAAGGGCTTCCACATGCACCGACCACGTCTCTGATCCTTAAAGTAGAACAAATGAAGTCGCGGCATTGTACATTGAAACCTTAGCAAGCACGCTGTCACGTCGGCGTCACGAATATTGAGGGTTGACAAACCGAGCCTTGACCTTTTCAATTCGGGAAATAAACTTTCGCCAGTCTACAATCACTTACGAAGCTGTCCATATCAGTTTATCTAAAAGCACGAGGTTTGAGCTTAGTCCCATCCAATCTCAGTGCATTTACACTTTACAGATGCAAAGTGTTCACCGAACTTCAAAAAAATTTTTGTCCAAATTAGTTCGCTTCGTTAGAGACGTCAATACCTATGCATCCATGACGGAGGCATATGCAGCCTTTGTAGGAGTCTGGAGTTTAGGAGGAATACCCTTCATCGCCCGAATGCCAGTTTCCGATGGTCGACGAAGTCAAAGGCAGGTCAGTGATGTAAAAATGTGATCAATGCAACCCCGAACAGGAAGGGACCCTTCGGCATTCGGTGCTCGAGGGATCTGCGAATTGTTTTCTACTATTGATCAGTGCTATATTCGTAACCATCTCTGTTAAATTAATGTATTTTCAAACGATACCGCCGTAAACAAAGCTACTTCTTGCAATAACAAATGATCCACCTCATCTCAATCACGTACTGTGCTTACTTTGTTTTCACGCACGGGTGGAGTTTATCAAACGCAGCTACATTCATTCAGCCGTAGCAACATTTTGGTGTCTAACTGCCGTGCCACCCGAAAAAGGCACGAGGGCTGGGATACTGCCAGGTTGCCCAAGCCCAGACGGGGGAAGTCGAGAGGCCGAGGCGGCGTTCTGGTCAGTAAATTCGCAATCTAACCACTGAGCCATCTCGCTGGCAGCTACGTTCACGCCTTACAAACCTACACATAGCCCCTACCCTTTTGTGTTCCATGTCTAATCACACGTCCCACATTGATCACTGCTCGGTGAGGTTTTTTGTGCTCTCTTCGTGCTTATTACGATAAGTGCGTCTTCGACTACAGATTTGCCCCCAATCCGTAGGCCGTTACGTAACATAAGGACGATCCAAATATAGTGGCGTGAACCATGAAGCGGGCGACCCAGAACGCGGAAGGACATAGGGAAACGTTGTCTAGTAACAAAATAATCGTTCAGCTGTGATATCTTTTGCGTACCTAGCTGCGACCGAAGGAAGCACCAGGTTGCCCAAGCCTAAGCGGATAGCGTTATCTGGGTGCCATGAAGGCGGCTTGTCGTTTAGAAGGCTATAATAGTGTTTGGGTAGAGCCGCTGTGAGTTATCACGAGATGCCGACGTCAGCAGCACCTACGTTGCTAGTTTCTACACATAGTGCCTAACTGAATGAACTGAAGGCTATACAAACGTAACTGAGCAACTTCCAACAGTTTTTGAAGCGGTAGCATTAGCTCGTTATGACAGCAAGTACCGGGGCTTAGTCTGACAACCGTGTATGTACACAGTAGTCCAGATCGCCACAACTGACAGCAGAGGGTAGTGCAGGATAAACGAAAAGGATAAACACAGAAGCACTAAACGATAAAAAAGAAGAGTGGGTTTAATGGGACAGCCACAGGAGATTCAAGTGGCATATTAATGCAAGCTCAAAAATGGATGGGTGGTATGAGCAGCCCTCGTCGAAAACAGTGAACTCAACAGTGAACTCGGATGAGTGTCGTACACCCGTAGGCCTGAAATACGGTAGCGAAGCACCAGTGTTGGATACTGATGTCATGCTGTCGATGACGATTACTATTACGTGGACCTCAGCAGAATGCCTTTCAAGAGATGCGCAGATATACCTAAACGAAAAGGAAGGTCTTCATATTCTCTTCATAACACTTCGAGTGGTGTCCCATTCTTTCCTCGAAACTGGTGGGGTTTCCGAAAGCCACTCCCTTCGGCCTTAAGTTTAGTTCTGTCTTTGATAAATTCACAGAACGCATACCTCACATGGTTGGAAACCTACAAATAGAAACGGCACATAGAAAGTTATGAACCTGGTCCCTAACCCAGAAGACAGCACTTGCCAAAACGACTGGGCTAACTGGTAAGGACTCCCATACTTCGTCGCCAAGCTATGGACTGCTCGGCCCTCGGTGGTCTTCATCAATAGAAAGCTAGGCGAAGATGGCTAAACGGGGCCAACGGTCCTTTGGCATATGAAACACATAGCCTAATCATCGTAACCTACAGTGGCACCAGCAGACCTGTAGAAAACCACCTGCCGTACTTCAGCACGTGATCGTGTTCTTACCGGACTCCGGCAACTTTTTGGAAACAAGGACGGTCAAACATAATGTCTTACCCGGGGAGCGCGCGGGATGGCTGTGGTTAGAACGGGATTTACTGACCGAAAGATCGGTGGTCTGAAACCGACCTCTGCATCTCGACTTTCCTAGTCAGGGCTTGGGCAACCTGGTAGTATCCCAGCCCTCGTACTTTCTTTTAGTGGCATGGCAGCTAGACACCGAAAGGGTCTTGCAGCTGAACGACAGTCTTCGAAGGGCTTCCACATGCACCGACCACGTCTCTGATCCTTAAAGTAGAACAAATGAAGTCGCGGCATTGTACATTGAAACCTTAGCAAGCACGCTGTCACGTCGGCGTCACGAATATTGAGGGTTGACAAACCGAGCCTTGACCTTTTCAATTCGGGAAATAAACTTTCGCCAGTCTACAATCACTTACGAAGCTGTCCATATCAGTTTATCTAAAAGCACGAGGTTTGAGCTTAGTCCCATCCAATCTCAGTGCATTTTTACAGTACAGATGCAAAGTGTTCACCGAACTTCAAAAAAATTTTTGTCCAAATTAGTTCGCTTCGTTAGAGACGTCAATACCTATCATGACGGAGCGGAGGCATATGCAGCCTTTGTAGGAGTCTGGAGTTTAGGAGGAATACCCTTCATCGCCCGAATGCCAGTTTCCGATGGTCGACGAAGTCAAAGGCAGGTCAGTGATGTAAAAATGTGATCAATGCAACCCCGAACAGGAAGGGACCCTTCGGCATTCGGTGCTCGAGGGATCTGCGAATTGTTCTTATGGTTTCCCTGGTTCAATCAGAGCAGTTGATGGGGACACTGTACCACATAGCATCCAAAACACTGAGACATCATCATCAAGGTAAAGCCTCATGGCACTGAAATCGCCGGATTTCGAGATGAGCGCCTATCTACTGTATTTTTCGACTTACTTTGTCTTTAAATTTCGGAAGTAGACCTTGGAGCATTTCTTTAACACTGTTCCTCATCTCCAACTGCTTTTGTCTTCCGGCTGGGTCAGCAAATTGAAAGGTGAACGATTCCCCATTGTGCATTAGAAGCTGAAGTTGCACCTTCTCCTTTTGATCAGGGCTGATACGCTGAACTCTGATATCTTCAAACGCAGCACTGATCTTGAAGCTGTCCGATGTCTGGTTGCGCCAAGCGACTCGGCCCGAATTGACGTATAGGGTTCCATCGACTTTTTTGTAGCGTACGTGCTTGACCATCAGAAGAACGTCCTCCTTTTGCTTCGACATAGCTGTAACTGAACACCGAAAACGTCTCAACAGCTAGCTATGCTAAAAATACGTAAACCGAGACCCCAAACGTAGTCGGTACTATCAAGGCCAACGAAGGTCAGATCAATACAGACAAGCTCATTTCACTAGATCAAGACGTCGGATTTACGAATCCAGAGTACTGGTTGTTTCAGAGGATCGCGGCTTTTGCCTACGCTTTCAGGGTTGGTTGTGTTCTTGTAGTGCAGTGGTTTCCATTCACCTGAAAGGCATAAGCGAATAAAAGGAGGTGACACCCTCTGCAAGGGCCAGTATTCATGGACTCACGGATCGATACACATGATCGAGGCTTTTGCCCAAGTTCCCGGGTCGTTTTTGTTCTTGTCGTTCAGCGGCTGTCATTCACCTGAAAGGCACAAGTTAAAAAAACGTGTAGTACTGCTCTTTATGTTCTCAGCGCGGGGCAGTATGCTTGCCAGCGCGAGGATCCGCATAAATAAATGTCTAGTAGTGCTTTCAACTGGGTTCTAGAAGGAGCGTGGACAACCGTCAGAGGAAAAACGCCGTTGAAGATGGCGTTCTGTAAACAATTTTCTACAAAGTTGTTGCCACTGAAGTGCTTCCTCCATTTTGTAGATATTGCCCACGTCTGTCAGCCAACTGACTCAGCGATATTTCGAGAGTCTAACTTGTATCTTCCTCTCATTCCATGACGTCAATAGTTCAATGAAAACTGCGCAGAAAGAAGGCCCTACGTTTCTAAGCAGGCACCTCGACCTGACCACATGCATGACCACATACCTGACCACATACTTATTCGGGCGGATATAAATAGCAAAACGTAATTGCGGGATTAGCACCTCCGAAAATTGAGCATTCACAAGGGAAATGCAGTTTCCTGAAAGTTCAGCAAATTGCTACAGCTACAGAACTATTCGCAAGTTCCCTCCATTGTAAGTTATTTACCTTTCTCCGCAATGCGCGATGTCTTAATGCAACTGGTAACGTATTAAGAGCCGGTGGTGTTTGCTAACTTCACAAGATCGCTCGTTTAAACAAACCATCCATGTAGATAATTTGCAGAATAATTTATTTGGCATAGGCTTTCTACCCGAAGAAGTGGCAATCCTGAAAATACCGTAGCTTTCGGGAAATCAGTTCCATTGTGGGAATACTGAGTGGTCTTTGAAACTGGTTTCTTTGAATACATGACCAATTCAGTATGTAGTGCATTGCGCTACGTCCGGGTCCAGCAAGTTTATGCATCACCCGCAAACTCATTCCTCCATGGTGCTTTCATTTTGAAGGTCATCGATCAGCGTAAAATAAATGTAGTACACTCACGTAACGGTTTTTCTTATTTTAAGTGTCCTCAGAATTATGAACCTGGTTCGGCAGAGCGAAAACGGGCAGTATCGTTTCAGATGGTATGAATTATCTTCTTATGTCTGTTCACTCATTAGAGGGGCCAGTGTATGCGAGCACTAACAAGGTCGTAATATTTTAGTGGCCTTTCCATCTCTGAGACGCAACAATGCTTAAACACTTCAATTTGCATAGAACCTGTTGTACTCATAGGTTTGATTGACGCCGCGGATTGCAGAAGTTTCACTGATTTGCCAAGTCCTGCGTATGTGTTCCCTTACCCTTTTCTTTCACTTTTATACTACTGAAAGCGTAAGGCGCGTATTTTTACGGGCTTTTGGAATACAGGTGCACCATGGCGGATAATGAGAGGGTAAATGGAAGCTTGGATCGGTTTTTCTCATTTCCCTCCGGATAATTTTTGGGGAAACCAAGGGAGGACACTTTTGGGCCACGTGCTTCCACCTTCCAAATAAAACGACTCGTTGGTAAACGGTCAGCATAAATTTCTGCTGACACGCTCGAATGGCTGCCGTGAGATGGATTTTGATTTAAAATACATATATTCGTGGGGTAGCCTGAGGGTTTTGTGTGAAGCTGATGGCTGACCTCGATGTGCAAGGGGTTGCCACCTTCGTCTTGATTGGGTCGCACCATCTCAAGTCCACTTCACCATCCAAAAATAGCGCACACGTTCTTCTCTCTTGCACCCTAGAGCGATTATATGCATAAAATGCGAATAGCTTATTAGTTCCCGATTACCAGCATTCATAGCTAGCGCCCAATAGCAATTTTTCCATGCGCCATTCGTTTTCTGGAGTTGAAACAGTAACTTGGCGACAGGTGACTTTTTTTGCCTTTCTGTTAAAATAACGTAATAGATCTGTTAAGCTACGGCTCTTATCCATTATCTGGAAGCTGTTACCTGGCCACTTTTTACATGTCTGCTTCACTGTTCACAATAATCCCCCCTTTTGCACAACATAGACCCTATGTGAGGATTCTTTTAGTAAGCTAAAAAATACCGCGCGTTTCAACTGGCCCATCGGCTAGCCTTCCTGCTAGCTACCTCAACGACAAATTCGTTACCTTCTCAACACTACACAATTACTTTAGCCCAGCTAGCAATTGTTTTCCGGGTCAGCAAACACATCCACCCTTTTCTGGGTTCACTTAGCTTGCTGTCATCGGTTTTCAGCCTTTTCCCATTGACAGCGTTTTAGCTGATGCCTCCTAGCACTCACCAGACGCTACTGCTCTCGCCATATTCCATGGTCATTCTCCTCTTCACAAGCTTCAAAATTCAACCGCAGTTGCCGAAAAGCCCCATACAACTGCTATTTGTTCAGTTTTGCTGGTCCCCGGTCTACATTCACACGGTCCTCCAACGGAAGGGAAATTGTCCGTGGCTCTGCATCGGCCCGACTCCATCTGATCAGTCTCCTGACTTAACCCATATTCAGCTGCCATTGAAATGCGTATTTCCTCTCCGATTGCGGCATCCTTCACGACCTTTGCATAGCTGTCCGTGAACCGAAGTATATCGGTGAACTGATGGCATGGCACTGCATATCAGTGCAGATGAATTTGACACATTGACTGGAAACATTAGCAAACGAATTATGATTGTAGAAATCTACCTGGCGTGCGCTAGCTAAACGTCGGGCCACAAACACATTGCGCAGTATTGGGGGCTTTGAGGTTCAGCCGACAAAAGGAGGCGGGTACTCAAATGAAGACTTCAAGTCTTCAAGGGAGCAGGTGCATGTGCCTATAGCCAGCTGGAGCCGTTCGTGAGCACAATATATGGCGTAGGACAATTGTGGAGTCCCTCCACGGACTCAGGACCTTGCGAATGTTTAGTAAGCACTGAAAAGGTTAAAGAACAGGATCACTGATTTGCGTACTGATACAAAGGATCCAGGCTTTCGGTCAATGTTCTCGGGTGGGCTTTGTTTTTGTTGTTCAGTGACTGCCGTTCACCTGAAAGACATGGGCCAAACTGTGGCGTAGCTGTGCTTTCAAGTTCACAGCGTGAGGCATCAAGCTTGGCAGTGCGAGGACTTGCATAAAAATTATCTAATATTTCGCTGGACTGGGTACCAGATAGAGCGTGGTCAACCCTCGAGGGAAGGCTATCCCACGCAGCGCCGAGCCGCCATGAGAAAATTCGCCCGATAAAAGTGGGGTTTCCGAAATTGAAAAACTTCTCATCATGTCCCAGCCATATAATAGCTGGAGATATGGTGATAACTTTTTGACCTAACCTTGTTCGAACAGAGCGATGTGGGTATTAGGCCTCATTAACGGCGACGAAACTCAAAAGCACAGAGGCGAAGCGCCGCGAGATATACTCTACACTCAACGGGTTGCAAACCAGAAATCGTTTTCGTAATAGTTCGTTGGACAAGTTCCATAAGGGCAACTCCTTTCTTGCTTCCCGAGTAGATAACTCGGTCGGTATATTTAAGAGGTGGCTCAATTCGGACCCCCTACATTACCTGGATGTCCGGTTATACGGGCCAAAGTAAGCCAAATCCTCCCAAGAACGACGAACGCCTTTGGAAGCTATTTCTGATGGCAAAGTGAGAGGGACAGGTTTACAGAGAGCCAGACACCCAAATCCTCACTTGGCTGAGAAGATGGGTGGAATGGTTCCCTGTTAGCCTAGAGGGCCTGCCTTGCAGCTCTGTACGGAAGGATGGATGAGCGGATTTTCATGCGAAGATCCCGCTAACCTATTGGATGTCACCCTGCCGAAATTCGTTCGAATGGAGATCTTTCATTTGGTGCTGCTCCGGCAAAACCTCTGAACACTGTATAAAGCTATCCTGCGGAGCGATCACATTATAATTGCCACGGGTTGGCTTGGCCAGACGGGTCCAGGTTGTACGCCAAACCCCACCGAAAAGGCGCGACATCTGCCCCTGAACCGAGTATTCTCTCCTCGGAGGTGTTGCTAGATACCGGTCTCCTTGGCTTGTGATCAGGAACTCCGACAAATGGCCTTCAAACTTACATCCCCAGAAAACCAGGGAAATTGTGCTGAACATAGAAAGCTCACAACCCGTTAGGATAAGACATGGACTTTCGGTCCCGAAGCTACGTCGACAGGCTACACAAGGAATCTGAAGAGGCGCCCAATGCCTAGATGACCTTACGTCTAGAGGATATGCGCCGAAGGGATTAACAAGCCGCGCGTGACCGGTAAAAAAGTGGACTAATGGCTTTACTAGGAGCACGACAGAACCTCACTGTTCTAAAGTTTAGGACAAGTGGCCACTCACTTTCCAGTAGCCGCTGAATGCCTGATGATGAAACCCCAACCAGAAACTGTTTGGTTGATCACTCAGTTGGACACTGTAACAGCGTTTCAGGCATTCCACCGCGAATGGTGCGATTCTCGTTCCACTGAAGCACGTCACTTGCGTCTTGAGCTTGGGGGACCAAATGATTTCATGAATGTGCTGCTTGGTTTTGGGATGGCTCCCCTGAGCCTCCGATATGATTGTGATACCGTTACCTAAATGCATACAACCATTTCAGCTAAACCAACAGACAGGGCGGCCTCAGGATCACGCCAAACCAGAAGAGCAAGTCTTGAAGTGGGGGCGAAGTACAGGAATTTTTGGTGTATGAGGTGCTGATCAACAGAAGAAAATGTCTGAGTGAGGTTGTCGGGCATCGGAAGAAGTAAGTTTTT